AGCAATCTTACAAACTTTAGCTTCATGTCTTTAAGCTCTATCGTTTCACTGATCTTTTTCTTCTCAAAGCTTTTAGATTTTTTACCTTAACTTATCCTTTTCATACTCAAATTCTTTTGTCGCAAGCTCTAATTCTGATGGTATCTCTTCAAGCTTTCTTCTTATTGACGATTGAAAGTTTTCATAAGTGAATACCATTTTTTGTCTTCATCTTGCTCTCCAAAGTAAATACCCTAGAGTGATTTTATCAGTGATGATCCAGGATTCACTCTACGAGGATTTTTTCATGCTTTAATCACCTTATTCATCCTCTGAAATGCTTTAGGCTCGCTGTAAGAAAAATTTAATTGATAAAGCCTATGTGTCATGGGAATGAACTATTTTACCCCAAATTGCCTTCTTGCTAGAAGTGGTTCATAACTTGTTACTCCTCATAAATCCAGAAGTGGGACCACAGTGTTTCTTCACACTGATATAATATAGGCTCACGATTGATCCATGCGACCAACCATCTTACCTTGGCACTTATCAGTTCTTGTAAAAAAGCTATCCACTCTTTTTTTTTACTTTTATTCTGACCACCCACTTTCATAAAATTCTTTGATCGGAGCTCGATTGCGGACATAAAACTTCGATAAAGAACATTTTTTCACTCAAAATGGTTTTTCATCCATACGAACAATAACTGTATACAACCTATAAAATGCCTTCTCTTTCAACAACAGTGACTTAAAGATCTAACAGTCTCTACTAATATTACTGTTAAAGGGTTACAGCCGTTGATCACACTTTCAAAAAAGTTAACCACTGTTATTTTAATATGACCCAAAACCTTTGAAAATATCATCATTCCGTATATGGCTAAGGTAAATACATCTAATCATCGTTCCTCGTCGGCATGTTGCACTAAAAAATCATAAAAAAATTTTCAAGGTAGGCAAACTATTCTTGTTTTTTCTTTATGTGAGAATCCATAATCTCCTTGTCTATCCCCATGAGATGGGCAAATCCTTATGAAATCTTGACTTGTATTTTTAACATATATCTTGTCAGGAGCCTTGAGTTGTAAGCCCAACAAGGTCGAATATTTTTTGATAGTTGGTGTCAGATCCATTTCATTGAAGATGAAACACTTGTATGTAGGATTCAAAATTACATTGTAGCTCTAACTAGTTGATTGTCGATATTTACTGTAAGAAAGGTGTGCTATATGTCCATGTCTCTAGCAAATCGCTCTATCTGACGAATTCATTTTCTTCCATATATCAAACAAATCTTCTAGATTATTTTATTTGAGGAGGCTAAATGTTTCTTGAGACAAGTAAATCATAACTTGATTGGTAACAATCCCTCATCTTTAGTTGAATCTTTTTTTACTGGACCTTTATTTTGTTGGGTGATCACAAAGAGCTAGTATTGATGAAGAGCAAACTAATCGTTCTGTGGAGTCCATAAAAAACCTTTTGTTAAAGATTATCTTTCAAGCAAATGTTCTTTATGCAACTTTATGATATGAGTATGGATCATGCAAACATGAATAAGAAAAGAGGTTAGTATACCAAATAATAAGGAATAAATAAACAACTAAGTAAATTAAAACATCACACAGAATAAGAATAATGAACCCTATGCTTTTGATCAATTCTAAAAGGAAAGAAAAATGGCTCTATCTATAGGTTAGGCACTCTTAAGGTTCACTATATATGGTTTGAGGTTAAAGTCTAAAGGTTCCCAAATTATTCCTTACATCATTGTCCGTTACAGACTAGAAAGGCACCCCAATCCTCACTTATTACAGGCTATAAGCGAAAAAAGTTCAATTTGAGTGAGATTATTTCGCTAGCCACTACGGAGGCATTAAACCTCACAAAAGCAATAGGTACTTTATTTTCTCCTAGAGGAACGGAGCTCGGATATAGAACTTATGTTATGCACATGCATATGAATGACATAATTAACAAAGTAAATAAAAATGAATGAATAAAAAAATCTATACAAAAGGTTCAATTTTATTAGGCTTTTGGATAATACAAATTTATTTACTGACCTGACTCTCGACTTTTTCCAACTGAGTCACCAAATTGTTATAACGTCTAGATCTGGAGATCCATCACTAGACATTATCTTTAGAAGTCGCTACCAATCTTTTTTATCTAGATGCGATTGACTACCTAAAGAATTTATCCTTTTAAGGAACACCTAAGCTTAAGGGTCCCTAAAAGAATAGATTCAGGTTTACTAACCAGAATAGGGTTTGAAAGCACGGTTAAGTGTGAGAAAGATTATAGCACCCTCACAACGCCCATCGAAAGATGGTACTAGCTTAATTTTGTGTTATGCAATAAGCCTTAAAAGTTTACCAAGTAATTAATTATTGAAAATTATTCTCAATTGACTCTAACACTTTTAGTAAAAAATTAAAAAAATTCTCTCACCTCAAGAGTATGCAAGAAAACTATTGTTTCACTTGCAGAGGCTCTATCGTCAAATTATTTAACATTAAAGAAAATTCAAAAAAAGAAAAGAAATAAAATGAAAAAAAAAAAGAATAATGATTCAGCTTTAAATATAAATAATTTTCTCTTCAAAAACTCATTGCTTTTGTACAGAAAAAATTGATACTTTCAACTTTTCCTTAAAACGTTTTTTTTTTTAAGAAAAATTGGTACTTCTAACTTTTCCCCAAAATATTTTTCTTAAACTTTAATTTCGAGAAAAATTGATACTTTCAACTTTTCCTCAAAAATATTTTTTAAAAATTTTATTTTCAATGAAAATTGATACTTTTACTTTTTTCTCAAAAATATTTTTTTAAAATTTATTTTCAAGAAAAATTGATACTTTCAACTTTTTCTCGAAAATATTTTTTAGAAAACTTATTTTCAAAGAAAATTGATGCTTTTAACTTTTACTCAAAAATATTTTTTTTAAAATTTTATTTTAAGAAAATCATTAAAAAAATAAAATAAAAATAAAAATAAAATAAAAAATATCAAATTATTCTAATCTAATCAATAAATAATAATAATAATAATAAATAAATAAATAAGAAAAAAAAACCTTTGCAACGACTCGATTCGGCTTAATACGGCTCAGCTCCAAGAAGAACGACAGCTTGGATGCGCGGCTCAACAGGAAAACGCTTGGCTCGGCTTGAACCTAAGGGGAGAAGCGAGTCACTGGATCGGATGTGCTACGGGTCGGGTCGGATCTTGGCAAAACACACAGATCCTGTGAGTTTACTAACGTAAAAATGACGTCATTTTGAGGAGGATATATAAGGCTGAAACTTGATTTTTCTTCAGATTTCCCTTTTTCTTTCCTCTCTTTTCCCTTATTTTCTCCTATTTCTTTCTAAACAATCTCATATTCTGATTGAATGTTTTATCGAAATCTGAAAAAAAAAATCAAAAACTTTAAAGTTAGTCGAAAAATTGTTGAAAAATTCAAAGTTCACCTAAAAATTTCATCAAATTCTGAAAAATTTCTAAAAATTTTTTAGAAAAAAAACTCTAAAAAATTCAAAAAAATTTTTTTTAATTCTAAACACAATTTTGCTTCTGTTTCCTTTCTCTGTTGTGTTTTTTTGTGCCATGTGGGTTATGTTTCAACACTTATTTATAGAAATTGATCAGAAAAATTTCTGATTAATCCTAATTTCCTTTGGGATTTAGATTCAATCTTTGAATCCAATCACACCTCTGTCAACCCCCAAATTCACGGTAGAATACACTCCAATTTTTTTATCCTAATCTCAACTGAAAATTCATCAAGAAAAAGTAAAGTTAAAAAATAAAAATAATAATAATAGAAAATATATATTAATAAATAAATATATATATTAATTGATAAATAATAATAATAATAATAAAATATATTTTAAAAATATATTTATAAATAAATAAATAAAAATACAAATAGACTTATTCATTTGAATCAGATCTAATTAATCCGAACCTGAATCAAATTATGTATTTACATATATAGAGTGAGTGAGTAACCATTTTATAAAATAATTCTTCTTTCTCAAAGTTAAAATTTTTTTTTTATATAGCAATCCAAATATTAATTTGAGGCAACACTTTGACTTTGCTTAAAGATGGAGAAAGGTATTTCGGTTCTTTTCCCTACTTTATTAAAATAATTGCCTCTTTACTTAGGTGAGAACAAAACAAAATGATTTTGCTAATTTTTATACTCTATCCTCCCTTGTATAAAAAATAAAAATATCTTGTTCTAAATTGAGTGGAGTCCAACCAAAGAAAACAAAGGAAGAAGCAAAGTCCAACTGACAAACTTTTGTCAGCTACTGTTGCTTGCACAAATTATGAAGGAAAATTCTGCAAATTGGGTACAAAAACACTATTTCAAATACCCCTTGAAAAAATAAATTAAAAAAAAAAAACGTAAACCCGCCCAAATTATTTTCAAATTTTTTAGTACTTTTTCATTGCTTTGCCTTTGGCTCCCATGTGCAAAACAACCAATTCACCAAATAAAAATTCACAAAATATTCCTTCCCTTTTTTTTCATCTTTTAAATTATGATGATTCTCATAACCAAATTTCAAGCGTGCTCCCAAAAAGGAAACATGTTGTCACATATTTTTACACAATATTATCTGTAAAGTTTCTTCACAACTCATTAAATCAAAAGAAAGAAAAAAAAATCATATATTATCGATATATAAATTTTATATATTATTAATAAATTAAATAATATTATCTTAATAATAAAATAAAACAAATAATAACATTTAATTAACAAATAATTTTTTAAATATAAATTTTTATATATTTATTTTAAAAATTAATATTTACTAATTAATAAATTAACATATTTTGATAATATCTTAAATATAAACTCCTTTAAATTACCTTAGTTCAAATTATTCATCATCATTAAAACAATTCACAAAAGGTAACAAGCAAAATATTGATAATAGAAGTAGTATTTTCTTTCCAGAGGAAAAAAGCAAAAGCACTGAGAGATGTGGTAGGTGAAAATGACTACATAATTCAACAAATTTACATGCAAATTACAGAGAGTCGCACTAAAATCTAAATCCCCTCCACTAATAACATTACAACACTTTCCCCCAAAAATAATTAAAATTGAAATTAAAAAAGCTAAAACATCGATTAGTAGAGAATTAAAACAACGCCTAAAAATTAAAGTTAAAAAGGGGAAAAAAAAAAAAAACCTAGCTAACTCCCTCTTTTTCTCTCTTTGTTTAAGCTTCACTATAGTTGAAAACCCACCGACGGTTACACTTTCGGCGGCCGACCTCGACCTCGCTTAACGCCGGTAGGTGAAGGAGCAGTGATGGAACCAGTCTTTGCCTTCTTAGGGGGGCGTCCACGTGGCCTTCCAGTACCGATGGAGGTTTTAGGCTTAGGTGGAGCAAATGGATCTTTGGGCTTAGGCGGACGACCACGAGGCCTAGGTGGGGAGACGACGGTACCAGGTGGAAGAGGAACCTTGGGTTTAGGTGGACGCCCTCGTCCACGCTTGGGTGGAGCATTGGGGTCGGGTTTCGAGTAATTGTTCTTCAACATAACAATTTGACCGCTTTGTTTCATCTTGTTGAGGTGGTGGGAAAGCAGAGTGGACTGAGCCGCTGGGAGATCTGAGTGAGTCGACTCGATGTGCTTCGCGATTGCTGACTTATTCGACCCCGCTTTCTCGTTCAATGCCTCTATCGCTTCCAAAATCATCTACACAGTAAAATCAGAAAGAAAATTAAGCACACATGAAATGACCAAAGAACCCAACAAAACATTAGGACAAAATTCAACTACCTGAGGGTAGTCTGGAAGAGAAGATTGTTGAGGAAGGCCCTGTGTATTATTAGTTTCTTCAGTCGCCATTAAAACTTGAAACTCTTTTATCTTCTGTCTGACTCTGACAGCGAAAGAAATAGAGAGAGGAAGGAAACTGTTGTTGTTGTTGTGAAGATGGTGGGAAAGGAGAAGGGTTGGATTTAAAAGGGAAAGGCTTTGGGATAGAAGGAGAGGAAGAGGGTAGGAGAAATAATCCAACGGCTGGGGATGGCTAACTTTCGGTTTTTATCAAACGGCTGTGGTTTATCTCATAGGAGATTACGAGGATCGATGACGTGGAAGGGAGCTCAACTAGGATTGGAAGGATTCTGAAATCTGGATCTACAAATTTCCTTCGTTCTCTTTTCTTTTAATTCATCGGTTACAAAAAAAAAAAAAAAGGCATTTTAAATTTTTTGGCGTCAACGTTGTATTGGCTGCGTAGAAAGCCAAAATATAAAAAGCGCTTTTAGATTTATCCGGACGAATGAAAAAAGGGCACGTAGTCGATCACGAGATATTGAATTTGGAAGAGGCGGGGGGTTGGCGGATAAATTGAGTGCAAGTGAGTAGTATGGTAAAGTTTCGGAAGTGGAGTTGAAAATGAATGGGTGGTCAGAGACGAGTTGACTATCGAGAGATGAACATAAGCACGACAGCACAGCATCATGGCCCCGCGACTGTCTCGCTCTCGCACTCTCTCATCAGTGTCCAGATTTCCAAGGTTATCCACACCGTACAATTATTTCAAATCAGAGACTTTGGATTGCTGTGTTTATGCAACAGAGACATCTGATCAGATCAGACGCCTCACCAACTCCTTCCCTTTGTTTGCCTCTTGTGTTCCCCCCTCTCCCTCATTCATTTTGGCCTTCGTTTTCCGCCTTTGCTTCGTACCACAATCTAAATTATTTTTTTTAGAGTAAGATTTAATTTCATCAGCGTAAAACTAATTTAATTTTATATTATTTCATACTTTTTATACTATTTATGTTATTTAAATCAATTATTGTATTTTATATTTTATTGTATAAATCATGCATGTTAAATTTTAAATTAATAAAAAATATTTAATTATTTGTTTGATATAAAAAATTTTAATTATTAAATATATATTGAAAAAACAGTATTTTCGATTAATATGATATAAAAATCATATAGATTTGAAACTTTCCAGTGCATGATATTTATGATTATGTTGTTAAATCCAAATTTGACTTGTTAAAATATTAATCATACATGAAATTATAAAAATATTAATTTTATGTCGATATAATTTGACTTTTTTTTTAATACTAAGATATAAACATGCGCTATATTGCAAGATAATAAAATACACATTACATAATATAGTTTAACTTGAAGATAGGCATCATTCCATGGGCCTTACTAAGATTAAACTCATATCAAACTTGTATGTAAACAAAAATCAACGAACTATAAGTTTCTTTTATTATTGGTTTTCCTAGTTCTGCATTTGGGGCATCCAAATGATCAAATTCAAGTTCCTAGTTCTTCATTTATCTAATAAGTTTTTTCTGTTACTGGTTTTACATGCTTTATCGTAAACAGATTTTTGTTACATATTAAAATTAAATTAAAATCAATCCTAATTAAACATGGAATAATTAACATATAAATCTAAATAATTTGAATTAATTACAACAAAAGGAGCTACGTAAATAAAAATTACAAAATTTACTAAACCACTAAGAAGTAAGTAAAAAAATTACTTATAATAAAAAAAAATCATATTTACATATAAATACTTAAGTAAATTACTTATTTCTCATAGCACAAACTAATTTTTGTATCTATGTTTGAAATAAGAAGAATTCAATTTTTTATTTTGAAAATTATGCTTCTATTCATATTAAAATGAATTGGTACAATCTCGTTCAATTGTTTCTTTGAAGAATATTAGACACTCATCTACCTATACCACATTATCTTCAACTTGTTCTATATGCTTAGCTAAAGAGTGTGTAGCCATATTGATGTCGAGAATTGATGGTTGAAATGTTGAAGAAAAATTGCAAATAAAAACAGCTCACAAAAAAAATAACTCACCAAAATTTGAATAATGGCAGAATATGATTATTGGATTGAAATGAATAAAAGTTCACCACCAAGATTAGATACTAAGGGATATAAAAATATCACCTCAAGAATTTTAATTAAGGATATAGAATAATAGAAGTTCACAACTCTAGAAAATCCACCTAAAAGATACAAAACTTGAAGAATAATCTAAAAGATTATTTAAAGATAAAGAAAACTCTATCCTACCTTCTACCAAAGAATAATTAAAAATAAATTTGCTAGGAATATCTTTGAAAGCATGAAAACTTTTATATTGAATTGCTAGAATCGTGCTTAAAATCAAGAAATTTGCATGTTAACCCATTTACTATTGCAGATTACATAATAATAAATCTGACTATAATCACATATATCTTCATACTCTTCTTTTTTAGCTAGTATGAACACAATCTCCTTATTCTAGTCCACCTTATTTCTGCATTTGTTTAATAGATTTGGACCAAGAATAAGCCCATCTTATTTTTGAATAATCCTTAGTCTCAGTCCAAGTTGTAAGATACGTTGACAATTTGATATCAATCTTCTCTAATTGGAAAAGACTTGTCATCAAGTCTGAATTAGTCTTCTCGTCATGGTAGGGTGATAAATCAACAACACTGAAGTTGGAAGATACTTTATAAGTGTTGAAAAGCTCCATCTTGTAGGCATTCTTCTTAATGCATTAGAAAATTTTAAATGGACCATCTGCTTTAAGTTATAATTTACCAAATTTTCTAGAGAAATCTCTCATTCTGCAAGTTAATTCGTACCAAATCACCTTTTTTAAACTTTATATATTTTCGATGCTTATTTGTTGCCTTTTTATATTTTTTATTTTACTGTAAAATCTTAACTCTCACTTGTTCACACAATTGTTTGATACCTTTAGCCATTTATTCTGCATCTCCATATACACCACTTCAAAAGGGCTGCAAATGGTTTGGCTTAGTGAACAGTTATAAGTAAACTCCACTTAAGATAAAACAAGATCTCACTGCTTGATTTTTTTTTCACATAACTTCTTAGAAGATTACCTAAGCTGCGATTGGTTATTTTCATTTAACCATCTATTTAAAGATGATGATAAAAAATATACTTGAGATTGGTGCCAAGCTTTCTCTAAAAAGTGTGCCAAAATGACTAAGAAACTTGAAATCCTGATCAGACACCATGGATCTAGAAACTCCATGTAGCCTTACAATTTTCTTGAAATACAAATTAGAAACTTGATAAGCATCTATAGTTTTGGTACAAGGAACGAAATGGGCCATCTTGAAAAAATTATCTATAACACCATGATGGAGTTTTTGTTCCTTTGAGTTCCAGGCAATCTAACTACAAAGTCCAAACTAACATATTCCCAAGGAACATTAGGCACGGGTAGTGGAGTATACAATCCAGTGTTTTGAGCATGACTCTTGGTAATGTGGCACATTTTATAACGTTCAAGGTGTTTCATCACATCTTTTTTCATTCTCGACCAATAAAACCTATACTGTAAAAGAACAAGTATCTTATCCCCTTTCAAAGTGTCCACATAGTGCACCATCATGAGCTTATTTGATTGAAGCCTGTCTTAAAAAACATAAGGGAATGGAAAGGCTGTTAGCCTTAAAGAAATATCCATCATGCAACAAAATTTGGTTTGTGTGGTCTTTGCTTGCATTTTTCTTAAATTTGAACAAAGTAAGGATTTGTCTAATAGAGCCCTTTGATCATATCAAACCCAATAACTTCAAAAGCTATAATCCCTAATAAAGAGTTTTTTTGACTCAAAGCATCTATCACCATATTTTGAGTTTTCAATTTATGTTTGATTGTGAAGTTGTAGGCTTGAAGGAACTCCACCCAAGCTGTATGCTTTCGGTTGAGCTTGTGCTAACTATTGATAAACTTCAAAGCCTTATAGTTTGAATATAGGATAAATGGCTTGGAAAAGAGATACTGACTCTAATGGAAAAAAGCTTTACATATGGCATAGAACTCTTTGTCATAGGTTAAATACTTTCTCTTGACTTCATTAAGCTTTTCACTAAAAAATGCTATTGGCTTTCCTCCTTAACTTAAAACAGCACTTATTCCAAAATTAGATGCATCACATTCTACTTTGAACACTTGATCAAAGTCTAGTATGGATAAGATGGGAGCTTCAATGATCCTAGTATTGATAAGCTCAAAGCTGTGTTGAGCTTCTTTAGTCAATTTAAAAGTTTCATTCTTCAAACATTCGATGATAAAAGCCATAATGGAGCTAAAACTCCTAATAAAACTCCTATAAAAAGATGCAAGGTCATGGAAGCTTTGGATATCATGCAAAGATGCTGGTGTTAACTAATTTAAAATTGCATCAACATTGCTAGGATCCATCTTTATTCCTTTCTTTGACACCACAAACCCTAGAAACACAAGGCTATAAGTAAATAAATTACACTTTTTAAGGTTAGTATAAAGTTTTTGTTCCCTCAATATGCAAACAAGTTGGTGTAGTGATTCAAGTATTGGTCCTTATCTTTGCTGTACACCAAAATATCATCAAAATATATCACTACATATCTGCCAATACAAGGTTTAAAGATATGATTCATAAATATCATGAAAGTACTAAGAGCATTGGATCAACCAAAAGTAACTAACATTCATCTTTACCATAAAGTAACTAACAAAAAAATAAACAAAATACCTGCAACTTGAAAGAGCGAAAAAAAATGTGAACCTAATTATCCAAAAAAAGTCATAAGTAAAACCAAATTAAAATCTTATTAAAAAAATGAAACTATTAACATAACAAAACAAAATTAAAACATACAAAAAAAAAGAAAAAAATTCTACATATTTTCATAAAAAGAAAGAAGAATTTAATTGATAAATAATTATAAACAAAAAAACAAATTTACTGATGTAAAAAAAACTCAATAATTGTAATTAACAATAACACCCAAAATTTTAAAAAAATCAAGAAATAAATGAAACATTAAAGCAATTTCATCTCGTAAATTATGAGTTCTTTGAAAGATTTAACCTTTAAGACCTTCATTAAAAACCAAATGCAAAAATAAAAATATATCCAAATTACATTTCCTTCACAAAATCATAAAAGAAAAATAGATTATCTTATGATAAAGAAAAATAAAATAAAATTTTACCCTTAAAAGAACGCATACGATATTGCCAACAAAATTTCAAAATTTTGAAGCTTGTAATAAAAAGAAAGATAAAAAAATTTCTGTTAAAAAAATTTGATTACAAACAAAAATAATAAACAAATTGAAATAAACAAATTTCTAAAAGCTTGAGAAAATGGGTAAGGGTTTTTGAGGGGGGAGAGAACAAATGGAGTAGGAGAGAAAAGAATTAAGGGAAAAGAAAAAATATGGAAGGATTATTTACAATTCCTACATAAAATAAAATTGCTACTAAGTTTTAAGAAAAAAGATGAAAGGGTGAACAAGGATTAGCAAATATTTATTCTTTTCTTTCTTTTTCTATGAAAAAATTAGACAAAATTATTTGATTTTTAGCATTTAATTAAATAAAAAAATAAAATCCAAAAATCCACATTAAAAACCCATAGCCCATCTGTTAAAGCCCATCTAAAATAAATGAAGATTTGAAAACCAATTAAGCATCAGTACTTCTTATTCATTTAATTAATAAGACTATAATAATAATTATCAAAGATAACCAATCAATTGCGGCCAAATGTCAAAATAAACAATAAGAGATTCTTCTCAATATATGGTATAGATTTATATATTATTTATATTATATAAAAGAAAATATATAATATTATAGTATAAACATTAAAAAATATATATTAAGTTATTTCTGTTTTAAAACTTAATAGAAATCAAATAAAAAATAATTTAGGACATATTTGAGCTATAGCATTTCTAATTTGGATGAATCTAAATAAAATTTGAGATCTGAATTGTCAGATCAGAATATATATGATACCATACCTAGTCTCAATCATGGGCACCTCTAACCAATTGCAACCCCATCGTCCTTCCAATTCCATTAGATACTTTCTCTCGTATGATAATTGCAATTTTGAACAATTCATGAATAATGCCATTTCTTATATACCGCTTTAAAAGAATCATAGCTCAACTCTACACCTTTGCTTTTGCTAACTAATCCCCTATTAACATTTACATAATATACTGAACAAAAAAGAATAACCAGCAAGCAAAAATCTTCCGCAGAACTAACTCCGCATTGGGCGCTTCCCACGCGGGTCTGATCTCAAGGGCCTAGCAAGAGCTGATGTGGAAGCAGAAGCAGAAGCAGAAGCAGAAGCAGTAGCAGTGTTAGTATTAAAGGTTGATTCAGATGCACGAGAATCTGAATCACTGGAAGTTCCCGCTGTTGATGAGACTCCAGGAAGCCTGCGGCTTGTTCTGTATCTATTACCTGCAATTCCAGGTCTCGTTGGCTCTTCTAGAGTGTCAGGTTTCTTTGACAGCAAAATAACCACCCGACGCATATCAGGTCGTAATTGGGGATCGCTTTGTGTGCATAGTAACCCTACTTTGATGCACGTAGCTACTTGTTCAGGGACTGCTGATAGGGCTAAGGCAGGGTCCATGATCTCCATCCCCCTGCCTTTCTTGTAAAGCTTATATGCCTGCAACATCAACAACCCCCAAATGCCAGTTAATATGCCTTTCTTTCGAACCTCGATTTTTTTTTTTAATTTCTAATAAAGTTAAATGTTTGAATAATTTCCGCCACTAAAACTTTTCTTATTGTTATTGGTGTGAACCTTGACTGCTATTTTCTGATGCATGCCATAGGACTGAAATTTCTTGGCTCAGTATTTTTGACAAAGTCCCTCTCACACATGTAGTGGGTTCCTTGTATACCTAACTTGAACATACTCAAAAAGATTGAAGGGTAAAATATGGCACGATGCTATTTCCACTTGAAGATCATCAAAAGTCTCCCTGAAGATGATTTTCTGGTTTGGAAAAAGTCCACAGGACAGCAGAAATGCAAAAACTAAAAGTACAGCATAAAAACTAAAAGGACTCTAGCCCACATGAGACCCTACGAGACGCAAACATTTAAGAGCTTGAATGCCATGAATCACAAAAAGTTATCTCAATAGATTGAATGATCAGATCACAATCTTGTTCTTACCCAATCAGGTAGACTTTCAGGACGTAGATTTTCAGCATCCACTTTTAAATTGAAGGATGAGTTTTTCTGGCCACTTATCAGCTCCAGAACCAAAACTCCAAAGCTGAACACATCTGCCTTCACTGATAGATGTCCGTGCCTTATGTACTCCGGCGCCATATATCCCCTGTTTCCAAATATTATAGAACTTTGTTAAATCAACACTTCAAGACATATGAATGGGCATTTTGAAATTACCACAAGGCCCAAGAATGTAGACCTTGCATATTATCATTTAAGAGGATGCTAGACAACATACTTGGTACCAGCTACACGGGTGTTGACATGTGTTTGATCCTCAGGGAAGAGACGAGCCATGCCAAAATCAGCAATTTTGGGGACCCATTTATCATCGAGTAAAATATTACTTGCCTTGATATCCCGATGAATGATGCGTTTGTATGAGTCTTCGTGAAGATAGAGCAAACCCCGTGCAATGCCCGAAATTATTTCATACCTCCGCTTCCAGTCAAGCACCTCTTTTCTATTTGATTCTACAAAAAAAGACCATCACCATCATGATTATTATGACCATAAAAGCGCAATGATTAATTCTATTCCCACCCAAAAGAAATAAGAGCAATATATATGATGTTATTTGTCTCTGTTCTTAATTTAACAATCAATTTAGTTTTCACGTTAATGTGGTTAAAAACTGGCGATCAGTTCCACTCAGAGCCGCCAAGTTTGTGTTAGAATTGGTCAACAGATTGCTTTGCCTAGAGTATAAAATCCAAATTCATAATATAAAATTCGGTCGAGTCTAATGAAAAGGAAGCTTCTAAGGAAAATCAGAAAGCCCACTTTAGATGTTAGAAGAAAATGAAAACTTCTATGAATCTTGATGGGCATTTATCCGCCATATTTGCACAAGGTCTGGAGGTTAGAAAGCAACACTGAAATACCAAGATTTATATTTTGAGGCTAGAGATGCAACATACTGGGATGAAAATAAACCCATAAATATAAAATAATAAAAGAATAGATCAAGCTCATGTGTTGAAAAAGAGGGGTGGGGAAATTAAATCAGCATCTCAAGGTTCAGCCTTGATGGACTCCATCCAGATCTGTTTCAAATAACTTTACAGAAACCGTTCAGTCTCGTTATCTTTACATTATACATAAAACCAGCATTTCATGAAATAGATCTTTTGACTAGTTAATAATAAATAATTCGATAGTAAATGATCAGTTTCAAACACACAATCTTGAAATTAAGTTCACAAAAGGGAGTCTAGCAGAACTATCATTGATCTCAATATATAAGATCATATACAAATATTTTTGCCTTTCAATAATGATGGTTGATCATCTCCTCTAGAATATGGGTTTGAATTTCAATTACAGTGGACTCAACAATTACAATTAGGTACATACTAGATGTCACCAAGGGGATGCAGAAGTCATAATTTTAGGCTTCAATTTGGAGGTCTCAAGTTCCAGGGATGGGAGGGGTGGGGTAAAATGGCATGGGAGAGGACTACTTCCTATTGTGTAGACCAAGATCATATGCACCAAAACAAACAAAATAGACAAAAATGTTGGGATAAAGTTCTTCCAAATACATTTCACATCTTTCTGAACTTAATGCAGATTTTTTTTTTCAAAACTCAAAAGCGAGAAATAAAATTAACTATTGCCTATTCGTTGCAACGTTAGTCTTGACCTCCGCCAATGGGTGTCGGGACTGAGCAGTCATGAGTCAAAGCCTTCCAACTCAATCTAACTGCTGATTTCTCTTAATCTAACACCCTTTCAAACTAAAATTTTAACAATATCTCCTTCCTATAAGGGTTAGTTCTCCTTTAAGAACAAAGGTTCTGCCTTGTCTCTATTGCTCAATCCATATTGCTTTAAAGATGTTTGAAATGAGCATTTGGAGTAATTACTCTAGCCTTAATTTCTTCTTTTGAAGAATGTTTGAAACAGATGGTTACTTATTAATCCGTTTCAGGTTCTAAGGCAAGTGACTCATCTTAGAACTTCTACAAATTTGGAGGAAAAGAAAAGGAAAAAAAAAAAAAAAAAAACCTATAGCTCAGCCTAGTTTTGTAACCAAGACCATAATTGCAACCAGCATTCAGAATGTTTAACTCTGTAACTAATTTTTGCTACCCTTTTCTGTGCATGTTTTAGGATAAAGTATAGTAATTTTGTAAAGTTGATAACAGAATTATCATGGTACATTACAAAATGAAAAGTTAACCATCTTAATTCTACAAAAATGTTTTCTTTTCATTACTATCCTACTAGGTTTCAAATATATACATATTAATTTTCAAGATTGAGTGTTCTGATGCTTAAATGTATTTGTTGTATCAATATCTGCCAACTCATCCTACTTTGATGAATTAGATACAAGCATGTCAACAATCACCTTCGATCTCCATTTGGTGACTTGACTAGGCCAAGCAATTTTTTTTAGAGGTAGCTACAACATAAACACACATACACAACTGAGCCAAGAAAAGAAACACCAAGCAAAAAGGAGGAACAAAAGAGAAACAAGCCCAAAAGTTTCTAAAACATAAGCTAATAAAAATCTTTCAAAATTATTGGAATTACTCAATTATACTTTATTCTGATTACTCGAATCTGCAATGAAGCATAGATGAGTAAATGGTAGAAAAATAAAAGCGGAAAACAACAAAGAAATTATGGCAACTTACTGAAGAGAAGCTTGTCTAGACTCTCATTAGTGACATACTCATATACCAAAAGCTTTTCCATGCCATGTGCACAGTAACCCCAAAGATTCACAATATTGCGGTGCTGCACACGAGCTAGCAACTTGGCCTCATTCTCAAACTCCTTTTTACCCTGATTTGAGCTATGAGATAACTTCTTCACTGCAACTTCTCTTCCATCATCCAATTTCCCCTACAAATTAAGGAACAGCCATCAACTTGGAGAAATTCCTCACTTTCTTGGTTGATTAACAGAAGACATCAGCATTTTGAAACCAGAAAACTAATTGACAACAACATGATCATAAAGCTTGGTGAAAGTTCTGATAACTGGAAAAGACAGGTTTAAAAAACCAACTGCACTAACAAAAAATTCTAGCTTCTTTTGAAATTTCAATTAAAATTTTGTATGCTTCACCTACTTTTTTCTAATACCTGAGATGAGATAAATCCAAAGGGGGAAACAACTCAATGGTTTGACTGGCTTGAGTTATTAGACAAATTGTTCATTCTTTATCAAAGCTAATAGTCAAAATGGGATTCTCAAGTATTTTTAGGACAAGGCATCTTCATTATTTGCGGTTGTTCATGTTTTTCATATGCAAAAGTTGAAACTTTGAATACCTAGAAAAGTAGGAGATTTCTCCCTAAAAGAATCTATAACAATCCATTGTATCATCTCAATTATATTCTTACTGTAAACAAAAGAACTATTCGATGAATCAAAAAGCCAATCAAGTTCAGCAAAAGTTTCCCTCTATTTTCTAGGTAACCAAACAAGAGTTTCAGCAATGGGAGCTTACTCTGTAGACAGGCCCAAAACCCCCTTCACCAAGCTTGTGATGAGGGTGGAAATCTCTGGTAGCAGCAGCTAAAATCTCGAAAGGGAAGTGCTTTTGCTCTTGTTGTGCCATTTTCTCCAAGTCCTCGTCATTTTGGCCCCCTGATCACAGACCAAAAAAAACCCAAAGATCATCAAACACGTAGAAAAGCACCGAACTTTGTTTTTCAGTTTTATTCATAAAAACTGTTTTTTTTTTTTCATTTACCTTTGTCTGAGTTGGACTTGAAAGGTTTGATTAGATTATGAAAGAAATTCTTGGATTTGTTCATGGGTTTTGAAACTTGGTAGTTGTGAAGTTTAGAAAAATAAACCGTGAAATGAAAAAAAAAAAATCTGAAGAGTGGAACTAATACGATCTTGGGAAAAGATTGGAGCTTGAAGAGCTCGGAGGAAGACAGACAGGAAGGTGGAAGATTGGTTTTGAAATTTTAATGAAGACTTTGAGGTACCATATTATTTGTTTGTCTCGTCCTTTTGTTAGAAGTGGGAAAAGAGATATGTCAAGGAATAGAACGTGTTGACTAAGTGGTTGGCACCTGTCCATTTCTTTTGTTTCTATGGTCAAACGACATTTGTGATTTATGATGCAAAGATAAAACACAAGGGCATTTTTTTGCATGCAAAAGACGTCAATAGTTACTGATATATGTAATATGTTATGATTTACCGATAAAGTTAAGAGTTTTTTTTTTTTTGCATTTAAAAATTTATCAAAAATGTCATGTTAGGATAATCAATGATACATAAATAAAGTTAAGGGTCATGTCAATACTATAATCGAAACAAATTTAACACCTTCAATAACTTAATTAAAATTAACAAATTGACATAATCAAAAACTCAATTTATATAAATTATATTGAAAAATTGAATTGCATATTTGATGAGTAAAGAGACTAATTACGCAATTTGACCATCTTAGAATTAGAAGAGCTTGATTCGGGGCTACGGATATTCATTGCACAGTCATCTTCTTTACGCGTTAAGCAAAGCAAATTCATCACGGAAACATATGGGAAAATTTTGCTTTCCTTGGAGAATATTTGAAGTGATAATGACAGCCGGTGGATGTCTTTTGGTAATTTCGATGGGAAAGAGAAACTTGGGCATATCGAGAGGTCTAAATAAATTTTCTCCAAAATTACATAGGTCTAAGTGAGGTGACCTTAATTAGCTTCTGTCACTGTCTATAAATTTATGGACGTATAATTGATGGTTTTGATTTTTCTCCAATTATTATAAATGTTTACTATAATTATCAGTAATGGTTTATATTTATATTAGTTCATGTTTACAAGCATATAATATAAAGAAATTAGGAATTGAACCTTAATATTGTTGAAATTCAATTTTTAATGAAAATGAGTAACTTATGAATTATTTGGATTAAGTTTGAATTATTATTAAAACACTTTTTTTTCTATAAATAATCGAAATTTTAAATTTTCTTAATAGAAGTTTTATGGCATAGTTCTAATTATTAGTAATTTTTAAGAAAAAAATAATTTAAGATTTTTTTTTGAAAGATTACATTTGTTTATTGTAGATAGCCGTCTCTCATCTTATAATGTTAAATATAATCATAACTGGTAGTATCTTATGCGTTGTTGCGGTTCAATAATAATAACAATTAAAAATGATTTGAACATACTTTGAATAATTATAGAGTTTTAATTTATAAATTGAAAAATCAAATTAATTTATGGAGTTATACAATCAAAAAAATAAAAAGATTTTTTGAAAAATAAGAGAATAGTTTATTTATAAAATTGACACTTGACATATTTGAAAAAAACTATAAATTTAAATAAAATTATGTTAGATTTTAACAGTTGAAATGCCAAAGACACATTTAAATCATGCCTTGTCTCATTGGGCAAAAAATTGGGGTTTGATGGTATCCAAGACTAAGAGGAGAGTTTTTTTGCCCCAACAAACCGCCAATAGTAGTCCCAACCAAAGGTGAAGTATGGACGTATCAAGTGGCGTTCAGGTCTCGCATCGAACAAGCTTCCTACATGACAAAATTTGGGTGTATGCTTAGCTTATATGAGAATTTTTGTTAATTTAAATTAACGCTATATCCTATAAAAAAAAAAAAAAAGCTCGGACTTGGGCAGAAACGAACAAAACACACTTGACATTCAATTTGGATGATAAGAGAAAAAAAAAAAGTGAAAGTTTAAGCCATTATATTGATAGGCAGATGAATTGTTTATTAAAGAAATTGAGAATCAAAGAAGAAAGTTCAGTTACGTTGCCATAAGTCAGTGTTTATGGTCATAAAAAGTGAGGGCTTGGAGAAATAAAATAAAGGGCAAAAGATGATGAATACTCCAAGCAAGAAAAGTCTGGGGATTAAAGAATTCCTTGCCTTGGAATTGATCGATGAATTTGTCACGTGCAGCTATTAGAAACTTTCGTTCCGTTTATTTTGTTGAAATTGATTTTTTAGAAATATTTTTTAAAATATATTTATATATTTTGAAAAAATAAAATATTTTTATTATTTGGATAAATTAATAAAAAATATTTTTTATTATTTGATTATTTTTTGAAAATTTTATTTTTTTAAATAATATTAATATAATCATTAAAATATTAAAATTATTTCCTATTAAATTATATTAAAATTATTAATAGTCAATAATAATTATATTTTAATAGTATTATTAAATATTAAAATATCATATGAATATAAAAATAATTAAAATAAAATTATTTATTATTCTTTATATTAATATTTTAAACTATTTAAATTTGTATTACTATTCTTAAAATATTATTTTTATTAATATTAAAATAGTAATATTTATTATTAAAATATTTATACTATTAAAATACTTACATTTTATATTAAAAGTATCTATTATTAAATCATAATAGAAATCTTTTTTATTTATATTTATTTTTAAAATAGTAATATAAATATCTTAATAAATAAAAATATAAAATTATATATTTTAAACTAACAAATATTAAAGAAATTATTAAAAATATTCATATTAAGAAAATAATATTATTAGATTATTTAACATTAATAATTAAAATAATAAAAATATTATTATATATGTTATTATTTATTATTAAAATAATAATATAATACTATTTATTATTGAAATACTAAAAATATTTATGTTTAATAATATACAAAATAAAAATATTTAAAGTTGAAATATCAAAAGACTTTTAATGTTAATATTTTAATTTTTAATTAAAATTAAATAAAATATTTTTATTAATATAATAGTATTTTAAATCGAATCAAATCAAGTTCAAACTTAAAATATTTTATTCAAACTCTTATTTGAGTAAAATTAAAAAATATTTAAAATAAAAATATTCAAAAACTTTTAATATTAATATTTTAAAATTTTAAGTAAAATTAAACAAAAATATTATTTATTAATATAATAACATATTGGGTCCGATCAAATTAAATTTAAGCTTAAAAAAAATTATATACAAAATCCGATTTAAATAAAATTATGCTCAAATACATCGATAAGCAATTCTACTCATATATAACTATTTTTTAGAAATTATCTCTAAAAAATGACTTTATTTTTCATTTACTAGTAAGTTATTTTTCATTAATTAGTTAGTTTTTTATCAAACATATACCTAAAATTACAAAAATCATTTTTAAAAATCATTTTCTACAAAATAAACAGAACCTTCTTTTATTCTTAAACTTCTTTGATTCTTTGTACTAAAAAAATACACATGATTTTAAGATTATAATAAACTAAAAAAAATTATGTGATTAACATGTGTGTCTAGATAGAAAAATTAATAAATTAATTAACTACTAAATGAAGATGAACCTATCAATATATGATAAACTAATGTATAGAATTTAGTGGCGGGTGATAATGTAAATGTAGGCTATATATAGACACTTCAAACTTTGAAAAATAAAAAATAAATTTTTTTTATATCTTCAAAATAATTTTTTAAACATATATTTTTTTAATTCTCTAATCACTTCATTTTATTACTCAACACTTAATTATAATTCATAGCCAATCAATATGAACACAAAAAACAAAAATTTTAAATAGAATTTAATAGGAGTGTTCATAATTTAATTTTAACTTAATTAATCGATTAAATTGATTTAATTTGATCAATCAGTTGGTTACCTAATTAATTTCAATAAATTATTTAAAAAAATTTAATTTTTTTTATTTTTGATTAATTCAATTCGAAAACTGAATTAACCGCATTAATTGAATTTTAACCAAAATTTAGTAAAACTCATATATAAAACTAAAAATATATGAAATGATCAATTTCATTTCAAATTATTAGAATTTCTAACTTGATACTTTAGTGTATGAATATTTTTTTTAGATAATTTTATTTAATTTGTTTTACATATGAAAAATTAAAAACTTAAACTATAATTTAACTTAATATATTTTATTATTCGATTAATCAAAAAATTAATTGAATTAATTTCAGTCGATTAATTTTTAAAATTAAAAATTTTAATTTGATTAATAAAAATAAAATAATATAATTCGATTAATTTGATTTTAAGTAATTAAATTTAAAATGAATCAAATTGACTGAATAAATACTCATAAAATTAAAATTGGGAATTTAAAATTTTAAATTAAGAATGTAATCGATCGAATTCAAGTCGATATAATATTAAGCTCGAGTTCAAGCTTGATTCGAAATTGAAAGCTCGAAACTCGATTCGAATTTGATCGAGTTTTATTTTTTTAGTTTGAACTCGATTTGAAATAAAAATTGAACTACTTTAGTTCGTTCGATTAAGCTCAATTAATATATAAAAATAAGTTTGATTCTTATATATAAAAATAATTATGCTCAAGTTCGAGTTTGATATATTTTATTAATTAAAATAATAAAAATATATTTAAATAAAAAAACTCGATTAGGCTCACAAGCTATTCGAACTGAATATAAAAATGCTCAAATTCAACTCAATCGATGAGTTGAACTATTCGAGTTCGATTTGATAATAATTGAATCGAATTCGAATTTTATTCAAATCGAACTCAAATGACTTGTGAATAATAATGTATTATTTACACATTTAATTTAAATGCTTAATTCAATTCATCAGCTATCTAAAGTTAATATTAAAATATTTTTAACTTGACTTCCTTGTACAACTACTCATGCTCAAGTTTGATTTTTTTAATAAAGAATGTTGTAGTTTTGAAATAGAAAAAGAGATTATAAATTTTGGGATTTTAATTTTAAATTTAATATTATCATTTGAAAGTAATTATACCAATTAATTGAATTAAATTTAGAATTTAAATCGAAATGAGGACAAGTTGAATTTGATAGAGAAGAAATCAAGTTCTTGTATTTATGTAGCCTATTAGCTAAGCAGTAGTTTGACTTCACTTTATATGATGTATTCCTGAGTTTGCTGGAGAAACTTAATTGGAAGGACAATGGTATTTGCATGATTTCGGTTATATGCAATTTGATTTAAATTGAAAATTCCAGATCAAATTTATCAATCTACTCTATAAATAATTTATGTAAAGTATTCTAGATGGACAAGCACGTTGTCCATAGCATTCTTTGAAATTTTCCTCAACACATTTCAATTATAGTCCTTTATTTTCTTGCTGAACATTTCAAGTAAATTGTTTAATTCCTATTGGATTGAAAAACTGAAAGGCAGATTGAACATGTCAGATACATTGGTTCCTCCTAAAGGGTTCCTCAAGCACAGGCTCCAATAATTCCAACTCTGGTCTGACTAGCTCAAATATTAAAGTTTTGGTTCATGCACTTGAGATCATCTTTACATCAAAGCTCCAATTCATTAATAAAATGACACCTACCTAACCTTAACTTGATCATCATCATAATTAAGCTTTTAAACTGCGCCGAAAGCCGTTAAACGATGCTGATAGAATGATTAGAGAATAGCAATAGCTTTCTTCTACCAGAAAGGTGAAGGAAATAATATTTTATAGAATGCTGCCTTCATTAATTAACACATGCGAGGAGCATAAACAAGGGGCACTTTTTATAAAGTAATCAACCGATATTCTGTGTAACACACTGCAAATCCTATGATGAGAGCATCTTCTCCCAAAGTTGAATCCTGGCTTTACTAGGCTAGTCCTGGTTTAGCCATTAGTTACACTTTCTTCACTCTGGCAGATCACTCTCTTCAACCCATTCCCTGCGTGCAGTTGGCCATACAGAATTTATACACTGATGTTTTCAATTGGCACCGAAATTATTTCATGACAGCTTGATTGATGAGGCTTAGCCGCTTAGCATATGATAAATAGAAAAGAGGGCACAAAGTTTTGAACGATTAATAGTGATCTGATAGGATAGCAATGGCAACTTGTTGGCTGCACAAAAGTTTAGTGTGAACAACTACGGCGCCGCAACATCAGGTTGCTTATCATTATTTTTAGAAAGAAACATTACAGGATGATGAATGGATGATAATTGATAAAGTTGATTTGCATAAAATTGCATAAAGAGAAATCCCAGTGCATTTTTTATAACATAAAATTTGTGCAATTTGAAAGCCTGCATCATGTTCTAACAGTACCCTTAGCCTTAAGCTATTTGGATATAGTTTCAGCTGTTGTTGGCCTGTTATGTGTTGTTTTATTCCTAAAGAAAAATCAATTGTTAAAGCATCTTTGCTTCTTATATTTCACTGTTATTTTATGCTTTTGTTTTGGTACATCTACCAGACAAACTCTGTTATAGACTTTAGAACAAGGAACATGTACATACAACAACAATAAATAACAGAACCCAAACAGGATAAACAAACACTCACTTTATATACTTACAGATGGATGCATGTAGTATACAAGTAACTCAACTTTTCTCCTCAAAATAATAGACAGACCCACCAGATGATGAAATGATGCAAAAGATGAGAAGGAAAATGAGGTTACTTACCCCTTCTTTCCTTTCCCTAGAAAGATTATAAAAATATACTGACAAAAAGAGCCTCCTAGTTCTAACCGTCTGAAAAAACTAATGCTATGCATCTGGCACAGGAATCTTTGTTGGATCACTCCAGCTCTGCAGGCCAGGCCCTTTCTCACGACATACAAATGCAGCTTGTCTTTCACCACACTAGCTTGCACACACATACACTCACCATCCTCCTTTTCCTTAAAAAGGTGATGAAGAACTGAACCCACAAAAATTTTGGGATTACTTGGACACTGAAACCGGGAAATGACAGACTTTCATAATTTCAGTCCACCAAGATCACCAAGCAGACAACAGCAGAAGCCTCCCTCTCCATTAAAGGACTTCCCATTGAAAATTGTCGAAAATGTGGAACTGTATTGGCGCCTATATTGTTGAACATCGCCCAAGTTGGTGTTTTTTTTATTAGTCCTAAATTTGCAGCGGTTAAGCAACTCCAATTGAACATTCTGCAATAATCAAGAACATAAAAGAAATAAGTACCATTACAACCTAAAGATAGAAGTAACAAGAAAATATAACTCTGCGATATTAATATAAAGAACAGTAGATTAAGATTTACCGATTAGCATTCCAAGTGTATTCTGCCAAATGTAACTATATTGCAGTATCTCCAATACTCCTTACTCGGAGTTCCACACTCCTTAAATCACGAAGATGTTGTAAAATCTCTTGAAGAAGATAGATTCCTTTATCTCCTTTCCTCAAGGAGCTGATACAATGCTTTAGAAACTCCCTATCTGCCTCAAGTGCTTGTAGTCTTTCATAAACGTGATCCACTTCTTCCTCAATAGCAAGCTTTTTGCTCTCTAGTTCAGAGTTGGCTGGTGAGTAATGTTGCAAGCCAACAGAATCAAAGCCATTTTTGTGTCCATTCAATATTCCATCTTCAGTTTCTGCATCAGTGGCATCAAAAAGTGGGAGAAGTCTCTTTGCCTTTGTAGCCACGAGTTTTTTCTCTTGCTGATGTTTCCCATTGACTGCCTTGAAATGGCCATTGGCAATCCCATTTGTTTCATAGCTGAAATCAGAACTCTCATGGAAGCCATTACCATTTTCTTTATACAAATATTTAACAGATTTTATATCCTCAAAATGTTGTTCCTCTTCATCATTCAATGAAACCAATTTCTCTTCCAAGACCTTGAGCTGCTCTAGAATTGACAGCCTTTCTTCCTCGAAATTAGCCAATGACTCCTCCAAATACAGAACTGCATCAGCAGGGGTATTCTGGTTGCTTTCCTCTAGATGGTTGTCCAAGCTATCTTCTTCCTTTGGTTCATGATTCAGATCAACTGATAGTCCATCACTATCCTCAGCATTGCTGCAAGATGCAGAAGTTGCACTCCTAGTGCTGTCATCTTTCCTTCTTCTCAGCATTATCATTTTCTCTTTGGCCTCATAATCCTGCACCTTCCTGCGATATATCTCCAACTCTTTTTCTAGCTCTGCCTTCTCTTTCTCTCTCTTGATCATAAGCTCATTCAGAAGCTGCAAGGCTTCTTGGTCATATTCAGACTGTTCTTCCATCATCCTCTGATACTGCAAGGCTTCCATCTGCATTGCTGCCCTCTCTTCTTGAAGCCTATTTATCATTGCCATTGTCTGGTTCGCTGCTACAGCAGAAGCACTCCTTTCTTCCTCAAGTTCTGTATACAAAGCATTTAAAGCCTTCCTTTCAGCTTTTAATGCGGATTTCAACTTCTCAACAGTCAGTACCCCATCAGCGCCCTCAATGTCACTAAAAACACTTCCATCCAATGAATCTTCCATTCCTGATTCTCTTCTGTCAAGCAACAGCAACTTCTTATGCAGCAGGTGGAGGCTGTCTATAGAAGTGGGTGTATCAGGAACTTTATCTTCTTCAATCTCAGTAAGCTCTGAATATAGTGATAAATTGTTTTTTATTGCTTGGTCACATGTCTCAACTGTTATAGTTTTAGACAGTATAGTTTCTTCATCAGCATTCTTGGAGCCTAATGTAAAAGGAACCCATCAAATAAAAGATTAAAAGTTAAAGACAATTCTAAATTTGAAATTAAGGTTTACCATGGTCAGCATCTGCATGCAATTGAGAAGAACTGATGGAGGGATCTTCTTGTGTGCATTCATACAAATGTTGCATTTGAATATCTTCAATCGGTTCATGGTCAGGAATATCTGTACCTATTGAGATCTCTGCTTCAATTTCATCATTTTGCTCATCGGAAACTGCATAAAATTGACATATTGTTCAAACTTTTAATCTTAATAATTCAACAATGGACATTAGGTAAAACTCATATTAAATTGGATTAAACAAGTACCTTGATTAACATCTAGATCCATTTCCCCTTCTCCTGTTACTGCATTTCCTTGATCATCAGCTTCATTCAAAGGGGTCAGAGTTGTTTGAGTGCTAGCAACTTGCTCGACTTCCTCCTCCGTCAATTCTTCCTCTCCTGCATGTGTTGAAAAGCTCTGCTTCTTCTCATTGGACTCCAGTGATTCAACTACTGCAACACTGGTTTCATCCTCACTCTCACGGATTGAAAGCAATGTCACTTTCTCTGCTGAACTGCGCCTATTCTCCACAACCAGTTCCACCGGTGTCCCACGATGCAAACCAAAATCCAAAATAACATCTCCATTACCAGAAATACCTTGATCTTCCTCTCTAAACTTGTATATTCTTTGGCTTTCTGCAGTAGTAGAATCCATCAATTCAATTGGAATCAAATGACAGTCATCCCCCTCGATGTAGAACTCCAGATGCTTATGTAGGATTTCAGGAGACTCCCCTTTCCTACAAGCCACTTGAGTCAACACCTGGTCATCCATTGACACATTTAAGTTTCCTTCTTCTTCTTCTTCTTCTTCCATTGATATTTGATCTTTCTCTATAACCACATCATCTTTACCATCTTCATTAGCAGCCATTTGGTTGCAATCAAAACTAGAAATAAAACATGAAAAGTCCTCCTTTTCCAATTCTCTTCCTTTAACACCCTCATTATCACCATCAGAAATGATCTCAACTCTATTGTTTTCTTCAATCCTCCGTTCATTTTCCTGATAATCACCCACAAAATCTGATCTGATTCCATCTAAAGCATTACCTTCATCTGCAATATCATCAACTCCTCCAGCTTCAGTAATTAAATTTCCTTTCTGGGGATAATCCAAAACCTCCCAAGAAGGCTTAATAAGGAGGTAAGGAAAATTCCACTTTTTCTCGAACGTGACACCACAACAAGAACACTTGAAATTCTCTTCACCATTTTCTATCACTTTATCACTATCATCCTGGATCAAACCAACCTGCTTCATCCATGGAAAAAAAGCGAACTTCTTTGACAAATCAAAACAATCCGACCGCGATGAGGACAAGCACTCCTCACACATATCTTGAGATTCTGCTAGTTTCCGATGATTTGAACAATAACCCAATTCAGAAATCTCCTTGGCATGATCATCACACACAAGATCCCTACAAGAATTCTTGTACTTTGATGGCTCGAAGATATGATCAAGCCTAGTACACCAAAGGCAGGGCCTTTTTAGACCAAAATAATCAGCAAATTTGATGATCAGGTAAGAAAACAGAGAATTGAGAAGGAGAAGAACGATCAAAATCCATTCTAGTAATGCATAGACAAGAATAACAGTGATCCTATTTGTGTTTTTATGCAACATGGTTGCAAACTTGTTGGCTGCCATTAATGATGCTTTGTTTCCTGCCATGTACAGAGAGATTTAGGAGTTGTCAAAAGGGACTAAACAGAAAAAAAAAAAAAAAGCCAGTTGTCAGGTAAGAAGAATATGAAGGACGTTTTCAAGTTGAAAGAGAAGAAGCGAGAGTTTGGAGCTTGAAAAAGAAGGGTAATTGAAATGGCTTTCAATAAGAGATAGAAGCGAGAGATGAAGAACAGTAGAGAGGAAGCAGATGGGGATGTGGTTTTATTTAGACTAAAAAAGGCAGTTTGAATAGGAATGACGGCCTAAGGAGACTAAAAGAAGACGAAAATAATTAATAAACATTTCCCATATACCAAAGAAAATACCATTGAAATTGAGGCATCGAGACAGTAAATAAAGGAATATTTTTTTCCGAAGCATCAATCTATCAAATACTTTTTGACAGAAATCAAGTAACCATTAGAATCTCAAACAACTAAAATGGAATTTTGTGGAAAGAAAGCAGATTTGATGTTAAGGAAAAACATTCTAAATGTTTTGGGTGATAATTTTTTCGATCTTAAGCCTAATTGAAAAGGATTAATGGATTGATGGAAGGGTAGAGAGTAGAGAGCAAGGCCACCCCCAGTTTTCCTCTAGTCTGGTTTTTTGTTTGGGCAAACAAAATGGGGTGGCCCACCAACCTTACCAATTAGTTGCTGGACCACCCTCAAAGTTAAAAGTGTGGGGTCCATTTGGAAGCCAGGTTGCCAGCTTCACCATGCTTTATGCAACTCTCTTGTTTTCATAAATCTTTGTGTGTGTAACTGTGCTTTTTTTTTTATCCGTAAAACTTTTATTTTCCCTAACTGTACCATCTTATTCCTACCCTACATGAGAAAACAAATACACTAACAAACTCAATTTCTTGCCTTTGTTTCCTTGTACTTATTTCGGTAGATTTCTCTTCTGTTTACAAAATAGTACTAATTTTACCATATAATTTTGTTTATTTAAGGTTTAATGATAAAAAATAATACTAGTAGTAGTCCATTTTGGTAACTTTTTGACCTGCATTAAAGCAACCAAGTCCAATTAAGAAAATTTTCCTCAAAATCTTCTCACTGAATTACACATGGAGTTGATCTTTATTCATGAAATCAGAAAGCCTTAAGTTTTCTTTGGTAGGCCAAGGCTGCACCGTCCTCACCCACCCCATTCCTATATCTGCTTTTTACCATTGAAATTGAATCTTATAAATTTCGTTTAAGACTATTAATAGCATTTTCAGAATACATGTATCTGTAATCATAGTCATGTATTCAATACAAATAGCGATGGATCTTAAAATATAATTTAGAGAGACAAATTACTAATACATAATATTTTTTTTTTATTTTTTAAGATGTATTTTATCATACTTATTAATATATATATATAGACAAATAATATATCAATAAAAATATGATACGAGCATAAAATTATAAAACAAAATTATTATTATGATAATTTTATATTTTTAATAATAATATAATTTACAACTAACTATTGAATTACTAATTACACAAAAAAATTTTATTTTTTGACAATTTAACAGTGAAATAAAAATGTGAATAAATTAATCATTAAATATTTTATCAAAATAAGAATATTATATATATACTTCTAAAAGAATGAAGATGAAATTTTGAGACTAAAATTTTGGTATTTTCTTGTCTTTTTATAAAGTAGTTCAAATATGATTTTTTTTGTTGAAAAAAAATTATAATGTGTGATAGAGATTTAAAATAAAAATAAAAATAACAAATAACAAAAAAAAAAAGTTATTAACAAATATAAATGTGAGAATTTATAAGTAATAATTATTAGATATAATAAATAAATAAATATATGTGTAATTTGAACATGACTTAAATTTTAATACATAAATTTAATTTTTAAAACACAAAAAAAATAAAATTAACATTTTTTTGGTTAAAAGGCCCATTTAAATGTATTTAATACAAACATATATACATATTAAAGAGGTTTTAAAACATTTGGGGGCGAAGGCCTCCTCAGGTTTGCATTACGAACCGCTGAATACAAGGCATATTTCTATTTTCTAGATGTAAATTAATTAGGCCAATATTTTATAATGCCTTAATCTTTTCCAGGGAACCTCACTTTTCTACTTTGCCATGCTTTTGCTTTAGTCAAGCTTACACAAATAGTGCTAAATGTCTCTTTTTTTTTGCCCCCACTGGCTTTCAACTCCTCAAAATCCCAATTCCAAGTTAAAATTGAACAAGTAATTTAACCACTAAAGATGATTTTGTTCCCTCTTCTCTACTTTAAATTGTATGATCAGACAAATAAATTTTCAGTTTAAAGGCTATGGGATTCCAGCTCACAGGAGAACTCGTAATAAAGTAAACTAAAACAAAAATACACTTTTTGGCTGAAATTTTTTAACAAACCAATTTTAAGTTTTTTTGACCAAAAGGGCAGCAAGGGGTGATCCCACAAAGGGGAGCTGAAAAATTCTAGTAAACCCTTTACTTCTGCAATCAAAATAAGCTGCCATTCATTGTTGAAGGCCTCTACTCTTAGGCCATTGTTTGGAATATTATTTAAAAACAATCAAAAGAATTGGACTTGTTTTTCACATGAAATCCTGCATCTTTCCACAGTCCGAGCTTAAGCTCAACTTTGAATTGTCTAAAATCATGAGCCACACCACACTTCAAGTTGTTGAATTCTTTAATCCAAAAAAAAAAAAAATCTAATAATTGACAAGAAAAAGAGGATTATAATAGAATTAGAAAGAGATAATCCGATTGTGATATCGTCTTAATCGAATGAGGGACCCTTTGAGCATCATCCCACACGGTTCCCGTGGTTTCCAAGACATTCATCAACCAAGAAAATGTGAAAGTATATTTTGCTTAATCTTGTACGATAATCATTTAAGGGTCCCTTGTTCTTCATTCCAAATGATAATCAATAAAATTTATTTTTAAGCATTGTTTAGGAGAGAAGCCATGGTTAACAGGATTGAAGCATGTTTCTACAGACTATGTTAACAAAAATCTTTGTATAGAACAGGACTCTATTTTTTATATGCGATTCTTTGTATCATAGTCACCATTGGTTAACACGGTCTTGATGTAACAGTATTTCTTCTTCTTTTTATTTATAAGAAAAAGAATGTTAAATGGAGCAAAAGGAAGGTTTCATAAACAGTAAGTAGAGAATAGAGATAGGAGCAGGGCTGAAGCATCATATTAGCATATATTTCAGTTTGAGATAAGCAACAGCGATAGTTGAACTGTCCAAATCTACAACTATTCCAATGTACAGACAAATTGCTTCTCCTCAAGGACTTCTTGGATTTTTCAAGTACTAGCTGCTGCACAAGCTTAATTTAATTAGCTTATTTTAAATATTTTTCAGGGTCATTTCCTCATTTTTGCTTTTTATTCAAACTATCAAGGAACGTGAATTTGAAGCAAAATTTTTTGGTGATATTTTAATCTTTTGAGTACATTTCTCTCCTTTTGATGAAAAGGAAAGTCTTGAATTCAAATTGATGGGAAAAATTAAAACTGTGATACTTTAAATTGAATGGATATAATAATGAGACACTGAGGTGCATGTATGGACATCAAGCTGAACTGAAGGAGACAAGGAAAAAGTCATGATGCAAAATGCAAATATGAATAGCTATATAAATTTGAAGTAAATGATGGGCCAAAATTTGACTGATTATAAAATTCACCTACCCAATTAGTTACAATAACTTATACTTCATTACAATGTACAAGGTAGAAATATCTATTTGGATTTGGAGTCGCAGTTCCTTGATTTTAACAAAATGCCAGGTTATTAAATTATGTGGAGAAACAGAAGAATCTTGATTTCCAGCCTTCGGCCCCAGGCCTACACACTTGGTTTGGATATTGCTCCTGCTCCTCGACCAACTTGATTGGATAATGCTAAAAATGGTCCTGCTTTGGCCTTTTTTATTAAAAAAAAAAAAAATTGGATTCAGTTCTAGTGAAGAAGCGGCTAATTGGGGATAGAATTGTTGTTAGTATATTATATTGGCACAATTTTTTGAAGGGGTTTCGTCTTGAAGGGTCTCTCTCTCTCTCTCTCTCTCTCTCTCTCATACTATTTTAATGATTTATTTGATTTGCTGATTAATTTCTTCTGTTGAATATAATAATTACAATGTTATATATATATATATATATATATATATATTATAGTCAATGAAATTTTGATTTAGTGATAAAGAGAGATTTTAAAATATGAAAATCTTATGTTCAAGTTTTATAATGTGCTGATTTTATTCAACTTTAGGTTAGATTTATCCAATTATTTATTGGTTAATTCATTTATTTAATTTAATTCAATAATTTTTATATGAATATAATGTTTAATTGTAATTATAATTTTTTTACTTTAATTTTAAAAAAAATGTATTTGATTATAATTTTGCATTTATCAATATAATTTCATAAAATAATAATTATGGAAATATAAAGTTTTCTCTCGAGCCAAGTAATTAAGTGATACATAATTTACTATAATTAACCAAACCCCTAAAAGAAGGCCCGAGGACACTAAACAATAGAGTATATTTTCACTGTTTCAGTGGTTCACTGATTGGGGAAATTATTCATTTTGGAAATGCCACTTTCCAAACCTATGATTTAGTTATATAACAAATTGCAGATTGGCCAAATATCAACTGCTGTTATTGTCTTGATTTGCACTTTCAATTCTAATAATGAAAAATCTAGGTTTTTTTAAATTTATGGAAGAAAAAATCTAACTAATCATTTAAAAGGAATTAATAAACAATAGAAAAAAAAAAAGAAAAAGAAAGAGTATTATATTTAAATGTGATGATTTGTATATTTATATCATATAAAATATTAAAAATTGTGTATTTATATTATGTTTTATATAAAAATTACATATCACAATTTATGTCAATACAAAAAAATAAAATATATATTTTTTTATTTTGTTAAATCTATATTTAATTATTATTAAAATTTTAAATTATATTATTTTTTATAAATTATTTATATTTTAATAATATCTTGTTACTTTATCATATTTTAAATTACTTAATCCACCCTCTAATAATGTGTCGCAGCATACCCTCTCTCAGAAAAGGAAATATATATGCAAAAAAAAAAAAAGTGCAAGCATTTTCTCTCCCCGACAAATTGAGGAAAATTAAAACTGTTGACATTAAATAAAAATCAATGGCAGGGGCCAGAATGTATCTTTGGAAGAGAAGAAAATAGTAAATTTGGGACCGATTTAAACAGAAAATTGGTTCCAAGAAATTGTTACCAACAACAATGAAACCCCATTGCTCAAAATCCAAGGCAAATTTGTCCTCTCTTTATGAACCATAGCCCTCACAAACCTTGCTTACATCTGAAGTCTAAGACCATTCCTGGTATTCCAGGCCATGGCCGTGCCAGGAGAAGATTAGATAATTGGCCCCCCTTGCATTTTTGTTCTTTAATGTATACAATATTTCTAGGCATATATGGGAAGAAAAATTCATCAGTCTTAGGTTTCTGCAAGATTCTGAGCTTTATTACTCGGTATTTTTAACAACAAAAAAGCCCCATCCATGAAAATAGAGGTATTGTATTTTATATTGGAAACTTTGGATTCTATGATTAACCGCATAAGAAAAGCTAGTACTCCATAATTAAAGAAAACTAGCTGTAATAAACAATATGATTCCGATGAGAAGTACAAGTAAAGATACAAAAAAAAAAAAAAGGAAGAAATTAAAGAAAAAGAAGGTAGTAGAGAAAGAATTAAGACACAAATGGGAAGAGTGATAGTAATGATGGTGAATTGAGAGCGATTAGAAGAGGTGGGGCAAGAACCCCTTATTTCCTTTTGCTTTTTTGCCTCCCTTTTCCCCTCCTATTCTCACTCTTCTTTTGCTTTTTCTTCCAATCTGCTTCACCTTTTGAAATTTCTTTCAATCTTTTACCCCTTCTCCATCTCAAAAAGCAGAAGCAATATATATAATATACCCTAATCTGGTTTGTGAAATCATTGACCATGGATGAATAATTTCTTATATATATAGAAATACTAAAATGTCTAACTGTCCAACTAATTACAAATGATAAATGCAGTGAAGATTGACTAAATTAGCATTAACAAGAACAAAGAAAGAGATTACAGGGTTTTAGACTTTTTTGCATATAGTGTGCTCCCAATATATAATGGTTTAACTTGAATGAATATGTACATTAATGTGAACCTAGAGTACATGGCAAGGATAGACAACATGCGCAACAAAAGGGTTTTCCTCAATGAGAAACATAGAGCATCATTAACCCTCAAACATGCACACATAAAGCACATGTGGCACGGGCTTATGAGTTATGATAACGTTCCACCACCATCCCTCGCTTGTTTTTGGCAAAACTAATGGTTAATTTTCACTTCTTCATATTCCCACCAAAAAAAAAAATCACGTCAGTAATCTCAATCATTTGAGATCTAATTTTCGCCTTAAACTGTGTAATGCTGCCCTGTAGGTTGGGGTTATAGTTGGAGTTTTTTTTTTTTACTATGAATGCAGGTTTAGACAATGAAGTGTACTGAACTTGAACATGCTCCTTTAAAGTTCAGACTGAGGCATGCAGGTAAGGTGACTCGATATCTAGAGTCCAATTGTAGTCATCAAATTTCAAGCAGCGGAACATTCACTGCTAAAGCATGCAGAACTTGCAACGTGCTACTGGACCCACACATTGACTGGTTAGTTCCACGTAGAAAAACATGAAACATGACAAATGCCTCTTTATTCTTTTCAAGTCTTTGTTTTTACGCTCCACATATTAACTTTTAATTGGATAAATCATGATAATGCTATCCTTTGGTATGATTCGCAGTCCTGGGTTGGACAAACTTGATTCTCTTTAGATGAAGATGAAGGCTCAGATTTTGTTCTTGCATGTCATTTTATCAAAGGAAAAGGGAAATTTCCTTGGTGAGAAAGAGAGATCGGAGAAGAGCTAAAGCATGCCAATAAATCTCAACCTTAAGAAGTCTAGCTAAATTAAACTTGAATGGACTTATACCTATTAGTTTATGGACAAATATTTAGTTGCCCTCGACACCCTTCCTCACCCTTCTCTCTTTTTTTTTTTTTTTTTCTAGGGGATCTTTTGGGTTGGCAACATGATTTGAGAGACTCACCATTTCACAATTGTGTTCCGAAACGCCCATCACACGACAACTTCGCTTTACGACTGAACCCCTAAGCATCTAGTCATAAAATGACAATAAGCGCAACGCAGTGAGATCTCGACGCTGCCAAAGGAGCCAAAGCCAGTCACTCAAGAATTAAAGAAAAAGAGGCAGAGAGTCGTCAAATTTTCAAAATTACTTGTAGTTTTCTGAATTGTATCAACTAGTCATTATTACATTTTAACTATTCACTCAATGACTTTGACAACCGTACAAATGTAAGACTGGTGCTGAAAGCCATTCATACTGTTGGCAAAACAACCTACACACTTTTCTCACCCCCAAAAGACGCCGAAACAACTGCACCAACCAAAATACACCAATTGAACTCCTAACATTTAACATTACAATAGGCCTGTGCTTCCAAATGGATTATTGGCATGTGGTTGACCAAGAGGGGCCATTTGGTTCACCGGAAATGCTCCGAACCCTGCATCGCCAAATGGATTTGATGGGTTCATCATCAAATGTTGCTGCTGTAATGGCTGCTGATAGGTAGGCTGGTATGGACCAAAAGGATTGTTTTGCTGTTGAGCCATTGCTGCCATTTGAACTACTGTAGGGGGAGCAATGTTATTTGACATGACAAATGGGTCTTGTACCTCAAATGGGTTTCGAGCTGCAGCACCATATACAGGCTGCTGAGCTCTATATGCTGCTTCATTGTACAAACTGTTGAGAGTGAGTGAGTCCAACCCACCAGCCTGAAAATTATAGGCAAAACAAATTAATTAGACAATTAAGATAGTTTGCTAGCAGCTCAGAAAGCCCTTGATGTATTTACACTTAGATATGTAGATCTGTCTTTCAATTTACATGTATGGTGTCCATAAAATTGAATGATAAACGAAAACCTAATCTTAAAATGCTGGACGAAATGAAGATACTTGAACTAAAACCATAGGTAAGAAGCCCTAATTCCAGAAAAAGTAAATAAGTCCAGAAATAGAAAAAAAGAAAATAGTAAGCAGGTGTCTCTTTTGAACAAATATACATATTTATATAACTGGTAATTTTTCAACCATATCCCCACCTTCAATCATCCCAAGCCTTAGCCAATATATTGTCGTATTTCCCAGACAACAAAAATACATAAGAACAAAATAAGAAGTGAAAGCACAATAAGGGCATACCAATTGCCTTTCAGTAACTGCAGAAACATCAGTACTTGGAGTGGTGACAAGGGCGAGTTCCCATCCAGTAGGATCAAAATCTTTTGGTTGACCAGCACGGGAATTAAATGTTGGAGCGGTACCTGCAAAATAAAAAATTGCACCTTCTTAGCTAATCGTGGCAACACCAAAGACAAGAATGGTAGACATCAAACAAGGGCAAAAAAGGCGTAAGAAACAAAGTTTACCAGATTCAATTGGAACTATGGCTAGAGCTAAAGCATTACTTTCCTCAATTGCTGATGCACTGGGTACAGAATAATTCAATCCCTGAACCCACCAAAAGGCAATCAACAAAAAATGAAGTAGACAAATAGGATACAATATAAAATTCCAAAGGACACATTACCAGTAAGTCTCCAGTGTCCATGTTGGTCTGAGGTGGAGGAGGAGCAGTCTCAACACCGGAAACTCCAGCATTATCGGCAGGCGCAGATGGCTCAGGTTCATCATTGGATAATTTACTATCTTCTGAAGGACCTTCCTCAGGTCTGTATGTTAATTGAAGCTGTATAGAATGATACAATTAGTTCTAAAGCATATATCAGCTCAAAAAAAATGCTGAATTCCAAGGTAATTTCAGAATTATTAGTTAGACACAAAAAGAGAGCAAAGAGGAGGGAAAGAGTTTCAAAGGTCTTCCATTTTATGGATCCCAATATTGAGAAGCAAATTATATAAATCGACTTTTTCCATTACATTTGCAACTATTCATGTTTGCACTTACCATCTCAACTTATATTTGACTTTAGCTCCTCTAGCTTTGATACCACTTTTATAGCATATTTTCATTTTTTTTTTTTAAAGATTAGAAAACCATCTCAAGCAATTTTCCTCATATTTCCCAGTGTTTATTTTACTTCTATCCTCTAATAGGTACACACATTTCTTTTCCTATGTAATCACTCATTTGCCTCTGCATTCTCACAGCAGAGATGCATTGACACTCATCTTTAACTTTTTCACACAACAGCCAATAATTGACTGATTAAAGCACAGCCGAACTTAGACAATTTTCTCTTAACTCACAGCTAGAATATTCTTATCATAAAACAATACTAATAATTCTTTTTCACTCCTCCACATTTTATTCTACAAGATATTTTTGTTTTCACCTATCTATTATGGATAATGAACTCCAACTAACAAAATATCAACTTTCTGCAGTCAGTGTCATAGTTCTCAAAGAAACATAATATCCCTTCCTAGTCTTGGAATCAGTTGTAGTGATTATAAAACGTTGGAGATTTATGTATGTATGAGTGTGCATGTCTATGTGAGTGTTGGAGTATAGTAAACAGAGTACTAACCAACGGTTCTGTTGGAACAGAAACCACACGTGGTGCCTCTCTAATGTACTCTTCCATGGTAGTGAGAAAAGATTGTGGTGGCTGGAACAAAGTGTTGAATTAACATCAAAACTAATGAACACAAAATTCACAAAAGAGACAATTAAAACAACAGATCACCTCCATAGAAAGCATACCTCCCTGAGAACAGGAAACTGGAAGTTCCTAGCAAGTTCCAATCCTTTGCAAACTTCATAGAAATCAGAAAGGCTATTAGCCTGCAACATAAATATTAAATATATTTTACAACCATTATATTTAACTGTTGACATGGAGATATCAAACCAGCCACAATTACTAATCAAATGAGAAGGTAATCCAATAATCATAAAAACCAACTAAACAGATAAATATTTGACACAAATGTAATTAAAAACAATTATATCTTCACCTGCTGACCAGCTTGCTTGTATACATTAAGAGCTTTGACAGCTTCATGTCTTGGCATCTCAAAAAACTGCAATAAAATCACAACTTGAGCAGCCATTTTAAAAAAAGAAAAAAGAAAAACACCTGCCTCAAACTAGGGAGCTCTTTTATAAATAATAAAAAATAGTGTTACCTTGTCAACAAGATTGATAATTCCATCATTAATAGCACAATATATTTTAAAGCTCTCCTTCAATACCTGTAAGTTGTAATATTGCAGAGGTAAAAAATAATTTAAAAAATAAAGCAGCTGCCATTGGCAGATTCTAATCATTTTACTTATTCCCATGGGGAGGTAAAGAGATCCTTAGGAGGAAGTATAAAAATACATTTCCCACATGTTGTTCTTAACATAGAGAAAACTCTCATATAATTTTTTATAGTGCAGAGAAAAGGAGTGCAGATACAAATTGGGGTTTCAAAATCTTTTTCTTAAATCTATAATTGTGAACATACACAGAAGACACTAAAAGAAAAAAAAGACACCATAACCAATCAAATAGCTTTTTAAAATTAAGAGGTCCTGCAATCATATCTTTTATTAACATCAGTGCTTGACATGTATTTCTGTAAAACAAACAAGCTTCTTTCCCCCTCTCCCTCCTTTTCAGCAGGCAGCTTAACATGATTCTATAGGTAGCAAAATTTAGCAGACATGTTCCCAGTAATGACCCTTTCTGATGAGTTCACATATGACCTATTCACAACATAATTCAACTATAAAGATTTTGTGGGGAAGACTAGAAAGTTTGGATTTTGGCCCTAATCTTTTCATTAATACAGCCAAATTAAAGTGTATTTTCAAGAGATTTACTCAAACTTGAAATAAGAGGAGAAAGTTAGGGGTTCATAGACTCAAGGGAGTCAAAGTTATCAGAGGAATATGGATTTGTGCAGTTCATCCATAAAAAAATTTAGACACTAGGTTGAGATGTTTGAGGACTGCTTGTCCTTCCCCCTGCTTTTTAATTGTTCCTTGTCAGTGGAAAATAATTCTGTGAACTTTGTACACCTTGCACATGGAAAATGAAAAACTCTTTAATGAGACATTTAAATTTTGAATTTAACAGAAGGTGAACCCAGATTCCACTACTAGAAATTTCAGAACAAAAGCTTAAAACTCGATAAGAATCATACGTATGGTGCTCATTAACAACAAAATCACTACACCAGTTTGATAAATTTGCAAAGAACTGCTTGAAAGATATATTTTGGATGCGTACATAGAATATGATTCAACTCTTCATGAGACACTCAAACAATGAATTTAAACGAAGGAAAACATCCAGACACAACTAATGACAAATTTGAAATAAGATTTCAGGACCAGATAAGATGACACATACACATTATGAAGAAAGAGAGAGCAAACATACCAGAGCCAAAGCATACTGTATAACGTAGTTGCCTATGGCAGCACCTTCTGGCTGCAAAGATAGCAGAGAAGTCTATTAACGTCCCAGATATGATGAAACAATACGAACAAATAACAGAATCTAAACATGTTGAGGAAACAAAACTCAAAATCTACAAGATTAGCATAAAATAAAATACCTGGCAACCAATGAGACGATAAAGCAATTGCTGCAGCGCAGGCAATTGCTCCAACAATTCTTCGCTGTCCAACTCCCTGGTTCTGCTGTAACCCTGCCCAATAACGAGAACAAAAATTGCAGCAGACCATGAACCCACTAAAGGGTAAAACAAAAACACTTGTGTAATTCAATGAACAAATATTCCCAACAGAATGATACCTTATCCTGCCCCTGGGCAGGTCTTGGCAGACGCTCAGCTTCAATGTCATACTTCAGAATCCTAAAGCATTCAAGTCTTTCTTCCAAAAATAATGCATATGTACGTACCCAGGCAGAGCAATCCCATGCTGAAGGCCATATATAAAAGAGGGTGGAGGAGGGAGTAAGCAAATTAATTGGAAGTTATTACTGGCAACTGAAAGAGAATAGAGAAGCACATGCACACATATCCATACACCCATACACAAGCAAGTAGAAAGAGAGATTAAAAGCTCACCAATAGGGCTAGAATCATCCTTGAAATTAGAAAGTTGGAGAATGCGTGCTCTTTGTGAGAAATTTAAAAGCTCTTCTCTGAAAGTAGGATCACCCTCCCTCAATGCCCTATGGATAACTATAAGTGTTTTCAATGCAACCTATTGAATAATGAAGAAAGGAAAATTACAATATAAGTTCATTTACCCATATTAAAACAAGAACTAGATACTGACAAATTGTAAAACATCAATGAAACTTATTTTGTCAATTCATAATTGCTAATTATGATGCACAGAAAGACTTAAGCAATTCAAGAACCATAAACATGCATTCCCATCAGTTTAACAACTTTTCAGCGTAAACCAATACATCAATGTCCTCCCCCCCCCTCTCTCGCTCTCTCTCTCTCCAATGAATTAAGCAGGGAAAAAGGTATGATCAAAAGCACCCATATGAAAATCAATGCATAGCCAAAAATATCATACAAATAAGAGGTAAATAAAAGATGAGAAAAGAAAACAGGAAGGAAAAAATGAAAATTTTAGAAAATTGGATGAAGTATCATACATTCTTGCATAGGCTAAAGCTCATGCAAATACCAAGGGTGTCAAGGAAACAAAACACACAGGTGAAAATGTCTATTATCGATCATCAGGAAGTTTCCATTTTGTTTTACTCCCCTTCACTACTCATAAGCAAAAGACAAAAGGAAGAAAAGTTCATCAGACAGACGGTTTTAAGCAGAACCTCCATCTTTAGTGAATTGAAAGGTTGAAAATATAAACAAGAAGAGGACTATTTATCCAGTGAAGAGGCCCCAACTAGCCTAGACGTAAAGTCTCTAAAGCATTGGACCAAAGAAGTATGATTATTAAATTCTAAAGCATTGTGTACTTCTAATAATGCTAGCAACTCCAAACCAGTAGCTGCACATACAAATCCTCTCTTTCAGGCTTCAGCCAGTAAACCTTGAACAAACCACACACACAGCTCTGTGTTCTGCAGCGTACCATCAATTGGAATTTTTATATAAAATGGATTTTGCAATTTGCTACCCAGTTCCATCCTACAATTCATACCATAGCTCCAATTCTAACTATCAAAAGTAGACAACATGTTTCAGGAAAATTAGCAATGAAGTGAACATATTTGAACAAGTTAAGCTGTTGAAAATGTGCACTGCCTAAAAGGTTCCAAGGGGTGAAATCCTTTTTAGCATATGATATTTAGAAAATTCTATATTTGAAATTGATTCAGGACATGCCCAAGAAGATAATTATCAACCATCAAAAAACAGGACTCATTTGTCATATCAAAGGTGAGAATGAAAACATTACATAAAACAAATGACAATTCTAGTTGCAGTTCTAAAGAACCAGCCAACAAAGCATACAGGAGTTGATTAATAAAGCTCAACTACAAGAAACAGGTTCACGGCCACCAAAACTTCTAAATGTTTAAGTGCAAAGGTATTGAATAGAAATCTCCCACCACTATTTAGTATACATTTTGAACATTGCACATTTCCAAAAATATGACAGCAAAATATTCCAGACGATACACAGTAGAACCTCATATAATTTCATATTCACATTAATATAACAGATAGTTGAAAATCTAACACATAAACAAGCCACAAAGCGATAAGAAACTAATTTAACTCTCAAAACATCCGTGTAAATGCACATCAAGTAAAACAATTGGAAACCCCCATTTCACTTTAAAGCAAAAGCATCATCATCCAATTACAATTGATTTAAAATCAAATCAAAAACAGAAGTCTAATTAGTGTGATTTGAATCATGAAAAAATGGTATATATTACCGTCCAATTATGAGTCTTGGCCAATCGGCGGGCAAGCGCATGAATGCAATAAGCAACATCTGCTCGAGGCCGAATCGCTGAAGTGGCAACGAAGATTTCTACCAAAAAAAAAAAAAAAAAAAAACAAAACAAAAAATCAACCCAAATCCTCACATACCCAATCCCAGAAACCGAAAACCCCAGGAAATTAAATAGGATATGTAAATTCAAACTTAAAAGTCCAAAAAAAAAAAAAAAAGAAACCCACTTCTAAGATGCCTTTCTTTGGGAGGGCACTCGACATGGTTGGTAGCTTTGACTATTGCTACATCCAAATCCTAATTATAAATTCACACGTAACAAATCAAATCCAATAAAAATTTTAAATACTAAATATAGAAAAAGAGGTGTATTTAAAGAAAAAAATAAAAAAAATATACCGCGTAATCGCTGTTGACATGAGCGAGACCGACTTTGGTGGTATCTTTAAGAGCGCCATACGCTTTTCTCCATGTTTGAAGAGTCCCCATTTGTACCCTCTAACCGCTCAGATCGCTCTACCAAAATAAATAAATAAATAAATAAATGCTTCGCCCTCTTCCTTGATCTTCAATTTCTCTTTTTTTTCTTTTTTTATTATTCGCTACGTGTTGCTTGCTTGGGATTTTATTTTCTTTTCCTTTCCTTACCTTTCTCTCTCTCAGAGAGAGCCACAAAGGAAAGAATCGATCAGAGGGAAGAAAGAGAAAGGGAGAGAGTATCCAAAAGATGAGCTGTCACTCAATGCTAATCGTTCTTGATTGACGCTTCTCTGATAACAGTAGACTCTCTTTTCTACTTTTTTTTTTTCTTTCTAATTTCCTAAATAGTATGTTAATTTTTTTTGTTTAAGTAATTTCGGCCTTTTGGGGGCTCTGCTTTGGTTATGCTGTCATTATTTTTTTTTAATACGTTGAATTAAATTACATTATATGGACCGCCATCTTTTGCATTTCTTCCAATTTTAAATACTATCATTATTGTTTTAAAAAATATAAATAAATATCAACAAATAATTTATTCAATTGATTAAAATTATTTTTTTTAATAAAAATATTTTAAATTCAAATCATATTGATGATTATTTATTAAAATTATTTAAAATATATAATTTTTAATCATTTATTTTAAATTATCATATATAATATTTTAAAAAAAAAATTAAATAATTTACCTATTTCAAATCTTTTTTTAAAAATATATATATAAATAAATAAATTCTACCGCTATTGCTAAACAAAGGGAAATACATTGGTCAACATTTTCTTTAATCTTTAATATTGGTCAACTTTGACTCAACAAAATAATTTGGTTTATTAGATTTTTTAATGAAATAAAACTCATTTAATATTTGATTCAAATATTTTATAAAATTAATATATATTTTTTCGTTCAAATAACCGGCTTAATATGCCAATTCTATTTTCAAAAATAACGGACTTGTTATGATAAAATTGTTTTCAACAAGTTTGAGCTATGATCTTTATTTCCAATTTTATTGGCAGAGGATAATAAACGCACGATAATTTATTCATCCCATTTTTTATTTGAATTGTACAAAATATTATTCAAAAACTTTGATTTTGGTATATTTTCAAATAAAATTTTAATTTTTACATATTCAATTTTTTAGTTTTTAATTTCAAAAAATAAAAAATCATAAACAATAATTTTAATATAAAACATAAAACTATTGGTGTCTAAAAAAATAGCATAATTTTAGTAAGATACCCAAAAATGGATAAACAAAATTAGGAGAGAATAACAAATATTTAACAAGCACTTACAAGCTAAATCTGCTTAGGAAATACTCTATGAATCTTGCCCCAAACAATGCATGAGACTTGACTTATCATCTTTTATTTCATCAATGTCGATGCTGTCTGATGGTAGGGAAATCAATTGGCTTTGATGCAAGTTTAGCTTTTGGACGCCATAAAGTTACTTTTACGCCCAACCAATCATCCAGGGCACGACTTCCACTCAAAGAAAGAGTAATACAGGAAAGTGGTGGGGAAATGAAATGCAACAAAATCTGTCTTTTTATTTCTCTTTTGCTTGCTTAATAGAGAGTATACGGTATTAGTCTCTCAAATTTTGCACTCCCCTACACTTGGGTTTCTGGAATTTGTCTCACATGGAATTTCAGTTTCAGTACCTTGAAAAAGCAAACATGTATCAAATTTGGGTTGAGAACATTTGTTACAAAGCAACAGCTGCGATAAAAGCACTAGTAACAAATAGAGTATTTTGCTTCAAAATATAGTGCCCAATTGCAGGGACATATTTTCCTGCATAGCTTTCACCGGCAATATAAATTTGAAGGTTATTAAACAAAGGATCTAATGCAATAAATTTTGTGATAGCAATGAAAAGATGCTTAGCAACAGAAAATTTGGTCTCTTGGAATCTTTTGAGGCGTTGAAGCTACACTAAAAACCCTGTTTCAATAGGATTGTCACTGCTAAATGTTGTCAACATAATGTAAATTCTTCACAACTGATAATGACTGTTTTGGTGTCATATATAGCTTAAAAATGCTCTTTGGTAAAGCTGTAATCAGTTGATTTCTTAAGGACAATCTTTTTACCAGCAAGGGCTTTGAATAGATCTGAAAGAGTTTTTAAGTCGAGACGGACTACGATAAATGGCAAGAAATTGAGCATAAAACCTGTCACAAAAACAGTAAGGACTTCCTATGAAATTATACCAGTGTCGTTGTAGGTTCATAACACCGGCTCCAGAATAGAACAAAAATAATTTACAAGATCGGTATAACAGCCCTGAAAAACTAGTATTCGTTTTGCCATCAGACGGGCAGATTCCTCAGCAGGCGAAGTGCTATTGTCCAATGTGATCTTTGCAATAAAACAATCCTCCTCAATGCTGGGACTGCCCCAGCAGCTATAATTGCTGAATGGTTCTCATCGTTCATGCTCAGATTATACAATATCGATAAGGCTGCTTCGACCGCCCTCTCACTGCCCTCTTTAATGAGGTTCACCAGTGGATACATACCCCCCTCAGATGCGACAGCTAGAGTGGAATCCACCACCCCTTCTGAAATTATTCTGCTAAGTTCGACAACAGCATCTTCCTGTGCTTCTGGAGAAAGAGACAAATTTATCTGCTCTATAAGTCTTGGGATTGTCTCATAAAGAGTTACCTCCATGTTGATTGGATTCTCAAAATCTACATTAGGACCAGATAAAGAGCTCAGTTTAACAAGGCAAGCAGCAACCCAATCTTTGTTGTGAAGTGGGATATCTGACTTAAGAATTTTTCGGAGTAATTTAGTGAAATGGGTAGAATCTATTTTTTGGCAAAACTGCCGAGAATCAAGAAGTTTTGTTAGTAGCCTTGATGCTGCAGAGACCGCTAGGCCAGCTTCTTCAAGTTCAAGAGCATATTTGTCAGGTTCCTGACCTTCTAAATCAGCTTCCATCTCTGCCAAATATCAAAGGTATGCTAAAATAATCAATCAATAAACACATTTTCTATTAAAGAAAATTATTCCATGCTATTGGGCAAAGGCATATAAACATTTAAACTAGGCCCAGATACATACCTGGATAAACTAATTGATACTTTCCAAATCATTTCAAAGAAACTTAAAAGTAAAAGCAATGGGAAGTTAAAAAGGATTATTCCATTTCAGTGTAGAGTGTTGTTTACAAGAACAAGTGCAAGAAATATTTCTTTGGTTATGAATTGACAAGTAAAGCACTAATTAATGAAAGCAAGAAACTTAAATAGAGTAAAAACAGAAGAAACCAAGAAACTCTCATTTCAATTAACCTAATTATCAGATTCTTTATCCTTTTATGAACTATGGGGCTCAATTACATGTAGAAGTGAACAGCAACACCATTATGGTCAGTATGCACCTTCACAGGGTTAAACTGTGGACAGGCAAACATGATAAGAGAAATTTCAGTTAATCATTATAAATGTGAGTAATACGAAGGTTGCCATTTTGCAAAGTCATCTTCGGAGCATATTACTCAAACTTGAAAAATGCATAGAAAAAGAACTGCAATTACCACTTGATTTAAAAGGTCAAAGGCATGTTTTAGGAATGACCAGTCTCTCTTTCTTTAATAAGTGGGGTAACTGGCTCACAGCAAAATCCTTTTTGACAGGAAGAAGCAAAATGCATGTGCACAGAGAAAGAGAGAGAGAACTCCCTCAAAAGTAAATGGCAAGATGCAATTCAAAACTTCCAAAAAGAGTTAAAAGAGGAGCATTAGAATTAGTTGTGAAGAATCAGCTACCAGAAATGCCCAAAAGAAGTCCTATCAACTGTTATTTAAATCTAAAGAAAGATGCTTGAAATTTAGACATTCAAGCTGTGTGGCTTTAATTAAAACCACGAAATAATACCCATAAGGAAGTCGAAGATTGAGCAACAAAAACAGAAAATTAACATGGAGGTTCAATTTGCTCTGAATGTTCATATCTAAAATGGAGAGAAAAACTTAAGCTAGAGGAGCTAAATTAGGAATCATAATCCAACTTAATTGTATAATGGTTCAACATCAAATATTTTTCTCTTTTCCGTGGACCTTCACTGTCCTAGGCAGCTGAGCTGTTTATCATTGGAACTAGAAAAACATAACTGGAAAGAGCTAAATTTGGAATGAGACTCAGCCTTAATTGTATAATGGTTAAACATCACATAAAACACCTAAAAATGATTCTCATTTTTGTGGACCTTCAATATCCAAGACAGCTAAACTGCTTGTTATGGTACTAGAACATTTTTTCTCCCTTTTATCCCATCCTACGAAAACACACACATGCACATAAAGAAGGATAGGATGAAGAGATATCCTCCTTTCAAAAGCATTATATTGTAACAATTCCAAATAAGGTACTTCTCTAAAGCTCAAGTGTTTCAACTAAAAGAATATTCCCCATTACCTTTTAGAGCCTTTTGTTGAAAAACAGCATCCAGACCAGATAATATGTCTACTGTCATTATCATTTCCATGCTTGGTTCAATAATTGTCATGAATTCCAAGATAGAAGCTGCTTTTCTTTGCAGGTTTGATGGTGATGTCTTCAGAATCTCAACAAGGCGAGTAATCACAGCTGAGTCCAGCAATTCTTTCCTATAATAAGTTTCCAATATGTACAACTGGTCAGTGTAATTTTCAAGAACCTAAGGATTCATCATGAATATGCTCAGTCAAAACAGTAAATCAGTAGCCATATATGACACCTTTTGTCAAGCATTCTTTAAAAATAAAGCATCAAGACAAAAAGGGTGAAGAAGGGATGAAAACAGCCTAAACTATTATTTTTCCCTTTCTTTTCAAGAAACAAAATAAACATAGATGTATATTTTCTTAATCAGTGTTGTCAAGGGTGCAACACACGCTGTTGGTGTTAGAACCCTTATATTACTTGAGGCACAAGGATAGAAAAAAAAAAGCACTAGCCTGAGTGAAGGTGCAACATGTATATGTGTGCGTGTTTTTGTATGTGCTTATGTATATATCATTATAATAATAAACAACATAGAGCAATCCAGTTTATCATACAAAAACATGCAAAATCTTCTTTTTCTTTTGTTTGCCAATATGCATGATATCCTTATGGTCCAATGATGTTGAATGCTCAGACATTGAGAACTAAAGAATTTGATATTGTCCCCTTTTTTTACTATTAAAGGTACAGATAAAGAAATTAAAAATAAATTAAATTAGAGAGAACTTCACTCAGACGGGCTTTTGTTTGTGCCTACCGCCTTACAGAAAAGTGCACCAGGCATGCACCTGATCAAATTGGCCTCACCTGAAAGGATCTGAAAGGATCTGAGAAATTTTTGTTGTCTGGGCTAGGGTGCAGTGCCTAGGTGCATGCCTAAACACTGACCAGAACCACCAGCACCCTTAAAATAGCCATCTTTATTTTCAATTTTAGTTACTTTTCATCAAACCATTTATTTATGGGGGGAAAGAGAAAGAAAGTAGAGAATAGAGAGAAAACAGAGGGAAATGGAGAGAATCAACTTAGGCAAAAAGTAGAAGAAACTGGGAAGAAAGAGATAGAACCCAAGATAACCATGAGAAGAGGATCTACATAGAAAGAGAAGACAACAAGACGTAAACATCAATATGTTACCCAATTGATTCTTTCCAACTATCTCATCCAGATTAAGCAATCATTTAGGAACAAACAACAAGAATCCAATAGTAAACACCAGAAAGAGAAGGGAAAGAGGCCACAATGATGAACCATTGGGTTTTAAAGAAACAGACACCAGGAAGAAGAGGGAGAAACCTGGATTCCATTATTGACATGGCCCTATCTCCAGTCAATCCAACAGAAACATTAAGGCTCCTTGCAGCATCTAGACCTTTTCTTAAACCATTGACCGGTCCGTCAAAGAACTAGAACACAACAGTACACTAGGTAAGTCAATAAAAAAAAATACAGGGAAAAGTACATCTCCACTACCTGTGGCTGTCTCATTTTATAAAAACCATCTTCTATCTGTGTGTGTATCTGCATTTTAAACACTTTGGATAATTGAAGTTGCTTTGTTACCGGAAGGAGTTGCGATGTTAACATTTTTACTAAGACAAAAGCATTACAAGTAAAAAATGCAAAAAGGATCTTTTAATTAAAAAGTTGTACAACATAAGCCCTGCCAGTAACAGAGGATAACTCAAGGGATCCAAGTGTCAAAAACAAAACAACAGATGAAAAATTGTATTTTACCTATATGATGCTGCAAGAGAGGATTGACTAACCTTTGACTTCATTTCTTTACCAGGGTCTAAAATCCTAGCAAGTATATCCAAGTTCTGCATAAGCAGCAAAAATCCATGTCATAACCATTAGCAAACTAAATGTATTCCAAGTTAACTCTTGAGAAAACAAGGACAGTCTATACCTTCTCCATCAAGCTCTCAGAGATCTCTGGGTGCTTCAGATTACAAACTAAAGGGTGTAAAATACCTTTAGCTTCAAGTACCTGACAAACAACATGGCTGCAGCAAGAAACTTCAGAAAACATTTAATCTTATGTAAAAGTTAAGATATAAAGCACAGAGATGATAATACTTAACCTATCAACAAAAATAGAGAAAATGAAAGTGAACATAAGGATATATGTCAAGGATATTGGACTGATGTTCGGTGTTCAATAGAAAAAAGATTCCATAACACAAAGCTGTGGCAGTGATAATGGATACCAGCATCAATGCCTATAAGCAAATTGAGAAATCACGTAGAAAACTTTGTAACAGATATTAAGAGCACAACTTCACTACAAACTATTATATGTTTACGATTGGAACCTACTCTGGTGGGCAATCAATAGATGATGGATACACATAGACAATTCATTAGTTAATCAAGTAGGACTAAAAATGAAAGCTTCCTTCAAACCCAAACAGTAATCCTGGTAGTTAGATTTATAGAGAGGGTTCAAGAAGCATATAGGAGAGAACAAGAAGGCTCACTAAAAACGCACATCAGCAGTCTAAATTTAAACCATAGAAACAAAATGATGACTCAGTTGTCTATAGAGCTAAAGGAAGGATCAAGATCTGGATCAATGAGAACTACAAGAAATGTCTGCTCCTTGGTAGAATTTTCCCTATTTAGAACCAAAAGCATTTTCTAGCAAAACTGAACAACATGACTAAAATACCTGACAGACAACCTCTCCAAAGCATTGGTCACAGCAGATCGGACAGCAGCACTGTTGTGGTTTAAATGCCGAATTAAATGCTGGATGGCACCAGCTTCCTTGAATGAGGCCCGCATATGTTCATTGATAGATGAATCAGCAACTGACTCAGCAGCCCTTGAAATGGCAACCTCATCTTCAAGCCCAAGAATCAAAACTAATCGAGCCACACCATCCATCCATGGGAGAAGAGTAAATCGCTGATCAGTGGGGGATTCCGTCTGAGATTTTCTTTCATCATCCAATTCTATAACACCCATACGAGCAAGAAATTGTTGCCGTGCCTGTCCAAGTATTGCATTCATCTTAGCTTCCTCTATGTCCATATTCTTGTCAACATTTAACCCAAGAAGTGATTCAGAGGCACCAAACGTGGAAGGACCTTTTGAAGTCCGCTCAATCTCTGGACCATCTGGCATAGTAGACCATGAATGTAATTCTGGCCTGAAAGACTTGTAGGCAGCAGCACCAACCAGAGGCACAGGAACCAGACCTTCCTCTATGATAAGAATTCTATAATAATGATCCTTAGCAAGTTCCAACAATGCATTTCTAGCTTCCTTCCGAATAACTTTAGATCCTTCCACATCAGTTATTAGGAGCTTTGCCTGCATTTAAAATACGAATGTTTCACAAGTCCCATTGAAATTTAGTTTCACTTATGTACTATTTTTTACTCATTCCAGTGTCAATCAGGCAGCACTGCCTTCCATAACCTAAAAATGAGTCAAAAACAACGGATCCAGTTCTCAAGCAAGAAGATTCATAACTAAACATGAATGTAACTACATGTCAGCAAACAAAATATTATTTCCCTGGTAAAGGCATCATTTATATAAACAATTAGATTGACAATTTTTTACATGCTACTCACATCATTTTTTATTTTAGAAACAAAAATAAACAGTTTTGCAAATAAGAGAATGAACAAGTTTTTAAACACATCATAAGGTTATAAAACAGAAAAGTGCCATACTCTCCCCTATGCCTTCCAATCCAATAAAAAGAAATCAGGTCAACCCATCAATAAGAATGCAAGACTCAATCAAGTGACCCACATCCATTCATGAGAGAGTGAGAGAACTTTGTTCAAGGAAAACAATTGCTATAGCATAATTACAGTTACTATATTTCATGTACCATTTTAGCATGTAACTAGAAAGTTGTTCAGTAACTTAATTAGAAAACAACCATCCCCATTCTGCAAAGAGAACATAAATCCTCACCAACTTTGGAATGACACCAACTTCAACCATTATGTTGTGATTACAATGGCTCAAGGCCAAATTTGCCAAAACCCCACCAGCTGCTACCTTCACTTTAATTACATCATCATCCAAGGAATTGATAAGCAACAGTAAGATGTCTAAGTTTGCAATTTTCACTCTCAGTTTCTCATCCACAGACAAGTTCCATAAAGTACATAAACTTTGCTCCTTAACCTGAAAAAGTGAGTTCATGATATATTTCAAATTTCTACAAACATGATAAATGAGGTGAAAATTTTCAAAGGTGAAACACCTCCTCTGTACCTCAGAAGTCAAAGAAGGTCGACTCAGCAAACCAGTTATTGCTTCTATAGCTCCACCTTCTGCTACTAAATCTCTGTATAAATTGATTGAAGATATCGACCGTAAAAGACCAGCAGCTGCTTCACATATAGCACTAGACTTGGAATTAAGAAGGTTTACAGTTAAGTTTATGCAACCCTGAAACCGCATAATGGCATCAATGCACTCCTTTCCCCATAATGAATATTCCCATAGTGCCACTATTGCCTGTTCCCGGTCAAGAGCATCATGGTCTAGCCCAAGCATCCGTACAAATAAGGCCACAGAGTTGTCACCTAAAGAAGACGAGCTACTGTTTATCCCTTCACCATCCTGAAATTAGCAGAACAAGCTGTATTATTCCAAGCCTTAAATTAATAGACATTTCTTATCCTAAAAAAATAAATTAAAAGAAAAAAAAAGAAGAAACAGGAGTTTGGGGAGTGTGGGGGTAAGGGAAGAATAAAATTTTGATTTTAATTGTAAGTACATTCCAAAACAAAAGAGGACAATAAAAAAGAAAGAATTACAAATTAGAAGACCAAAAGTAACCATCTTAAAGTTTTTGGGGTCCATCTAAAAATTTTCAATTTTAAACATATGATATGACTAAGAAGTTGGAGAGCTGACACATGTATCTAACGGCAAAGCTCAGGAGGATTAGCAATTAAAGTCTCTCCAGATTACGCACCAGCATAACCTGTAATTGTTAGAATGCAACAATGAGATGATATAGCATTTAATCTGTTCAGCATTGAAGCATAAGCCAGCTCCATCTAACACCTATCCAATGTTGAATCCTTCCATCCTGATTCAAAAAGTGCTTAAATAACCTACAAACCTTTAATGTAGAACATTTCGTCAAGCTCAATCATTGTTCTTAAATCTCCCTCAAAAGCTGGAACCAAATGGACTTCCATTCTTCATGGGATATTGGCAAACGCTCCCCAAACCCCATTTTTTGTAACAACTCTATGCAACATGCTGAGGATTTGGTCTTAAATTGGGCACAATGGCACAATATTATTATAGCCGACCGTCCATGGTGGTAAAGGGCTTCCTTTTTGTTGTTTTCATAGCTCTGTACTGCATTTTATAGAAAACAAACTAAAATTTCCAATTTTTGATCCAAAATGAAATTTGTATTCCTTTAAATATCGGGTCTAATTCCCCAATTCGTATTCCAATATGAATGTGATATTAACAAGTTTCAAACACACTTAAAATTGACCAGTCATTCACATTTTGCAACCATAAAGTTTCTACTTTCTAATTGACACACATCTTTGTTTCCATAAAAAAAAAAATCAAAACAAAACAAAATAAAAGAAAGAACAACAATCAGAACAAACTCTCGAAATCAAATTATGAGGACCCAGATGGGAAACCAAGAAGCTTAGACTTTAGAACTTACAGAAACAGCAGCAGGCTCCTGAGAGTTGGCATCAATGGCACCATCATCACCACTAACTTTCCTAAGGACCGTACGGAGGGAACACGACTTGGTTTTGAAGAAACTGTTCCAAAGATGACGGTAATGATGCAAATGGTGAAACTTTGCTGAAAAGGAAGGGTTTTTTCTACTGGGTTTTGTGGGAATAACCGTGATAGCGACCAGGCTGCTGGTGGGTGTAAACATCTGCTGGGGATTGGGCAGCTTAAAGTCAAAGTGAGTTGAGAGAGTTGAGGCCATCATTTTTTTTTGGCCTAAACCAGCGAGTTTGAAACCAGCGTTTTGAGCGTGGGGATTTTATATTTTTCCCCCCACAAAAGTGGCGGTGCCGCTCTTCACCGGCCGGATAATGGAATGTACTAGACTTTGGCGTCTGGATTTTTTTTTTTTTTTGGTTTTTAATATTAAATAATTCATATATGAAAATACCATAAATACTCGCAAGAATTAACCTTAATTGGCGAGGGAAGAAAAGTTTTTTGTTAAGTAGGATTAAATTTTTGTGGTTATATGGTTATCTTTTAGATACACTGATAACAAGACGAGTTTAAATTTTAATATTTATAATTTTTTATTATAAAATTGTTGTTTAAGAAATTTTTATTTTGAATTTTTATATTAAATAATTCATATAATTTAATTATGATAAATGAAAATATTTATTTATAATTATTATAATATAATTATTTAATTATAATTTAAGATTATATAAAATTCATAAAAAATTTATATGAAACTCATATTTATAAATGATAAACTCTTATATAATATTTTAATATAATTAAATAATTATAACATTATAATAAAAAATTTATAAATGATATGTTTCATGGTAAATATAATAAATGATAATATTGCTTTTATATATTGTAAATATAAATATATTTTAATTTTTTAAAAATAACTTTAAAATATATGTAATTTTAGAGTTTAAAAATAACAATAATAAATATGTATATCTATGCCCACAATTATATTTTTCTCACAGAAGAGAAAGGAAGGGAATACCTGTGCTAATTTTTCATCTTCTTGAAAAAGCAAAAATTTAAAAAGTCTTAATTAAATAATTATATTAAAAATGTGTATAAAAATAAAATAAACAAAATGTTTTAATTTTAAATAATATAAAATTTTGAAACTTAAATTTTAATTCAATTGGTTGATAAAATTTTTTTAAAAAAATTTAATATTCAATAAATATAAATTTAAAATCTAACGCTTACTGTCTTTTACGAAAAAAAATCTTTTAAGAGCTTTGCATTCGAATTAACAAAATAAAACAAAACAAGCTTTAATATAGTGAGGATATAAAGTATATGTGGTGGTCTTCAGACAATATTATAACACGTGGCAGCTCCAAGAAAATCTGAGAATTCCAATTTTCCCATTTCTGGGAAAATCCAAGCATTCCTTGCCATGAAACTCTTAACTGAAACCGATAAGAAAATAAACACAAACAGAGTTACAGTGCTGAAAGATGAGCAGCTCTTTCAGCTTCCAAATCCCCAAGGCTTTGCCTTCCATTTCTTATTCCCCTTCTCACTGCAAAACGTTTCCTTTCTATAATATTACATCCAAACACAAACCAATCAACAATCCCAAGCTTGATGAGGTAATGAAACAGCTTTCCTTTATTTTCTTCTAACATTTCGTTTTTACAAATTTTGCTTCAGAAATTTCTCATTCAATCATGAATTTTTCAGAAACACAATGCTACAAACATCAACATAAAACCAAATGATTGTTTTACTGCAAAGAAGACCAGCTTGGCAATTCAAGTTGCTGCCCTTCTTGCCACTGTAAGAATATTACTCTTCCTTCCTTTATCTTCTGTTCTAGTCCATAGTTATCTAACCTTGAGAGATATATGTAAATGATAATGGAGATTTTTCTACCAGTTTGAGCAGCCAGCATTAGCTGTTACAGGGGTTAATAACGAGCCAGATCTTATTACTGTGATAATTCAACTAGGAATTATTGCTTTTTGGTACTTCCTTATCATGCCAGTAAGTAGAACCGCTGTTCCTTCTCTGATCTGAATTGGATAATACTCTGTATTTTGATTTTGCTTAATTTGTGAATATTTGTTTCCATGTGATTGTGGTTTGATGAATGGCAGCCAATCATCATGAATTGGCTTAGGATAAGATGGTACAGAAGAAACCTTTTGGAGATGTATTTGCAGTTTATGTGTGTCTTCCTGTTTTTTCCAGGGTGAGTCTGGACATTCTCTTCAACTTTTGTCATTTTTAAATATATATTTATATATATGCTAAGCCAAAAATGTCTTCTTATAATCTAGGGCATGCTAGGTTCAGGAAATCTTCATGTTTTCATTGAATTTGTTCAACTGTAAGTTCATCTTTTCTTCCCCTTCCTACGTGCAGAGTAATGCTTTGGGCACCATTTTTGAACTTCAGGAAATTCCCACGGGATCCATCCTTGAAGTATCCCTGGGATACACCTAAAGATCCCTCACAAGTTAAAAATGCGTATCTCAAATATCCCTTTGCCAAGCCTGAAGATTATGATTTGTAATTTATGAAATATGTACCAATATTCACCTTGGGTCTTGCTTATACCCTATATAGCTTCCTCCAGATTTAATTCTTAAGTTTGTAAACAGTTTGAACCTTAACTTTACTGACTTGTTGATGATATCAATTCCATACATGGAGAGGGGCTTGCAACGAAATGGCAAAGAAAGCGAGTTTTTTCTTAAAATAATATAGTTAAATATCTTTATTCCCATAATAAGGTACTTTTATTCTTATTTCACAAAACAGAGTATTTTTTTAGCTATGTAGGCATTTAATTTCTTCTCTACCTTTGTTTTCTTTCCCCCTCCATCCTTTCCTTTCTTCTTCATCATTTCTTTTCTCTCTGCTTTTATCTATTGAACTTTGGTTTTACCCATACAAGTTTAAAGGCTCGACAACTCAAACTTTGCTAAGCGAATTAAACCAAAACTGAGCCTCCAAGAAAACAAATTGGCAGATTACACCTTTTTAAGCAATTAAACCATAAGTATTCAATTGTAATTTTTTTAACATAAAAATCAACACTCATCCACATTTCAAAAATTTATATGCCAAGTAATCCATTTAGTTTTAAAAAATATATCACGAACTAAAAACCCAACGAAGATATCCCGCTAATTCAACAAATCAATTAAAATCCGATAAAAGCACCATTTTGGTTAACTTCTCATTGAAAGGAAAGTTAACGTAAGCTTCCCAAATAGCTCTGTTCTTAGGAGAGATGTCATCAGGGAGCCAAGCTGTTTCAGAGGCGTTGTTCCAAGAGCGTCTTTGTCGTTTTGGGTGCTTTAGTGAATAACATTTTGAAAAAGCTAGTTGGATTCAAATGGGATTTAACCAAATTTGGGTGAATTATGATGATCGTTGGCTTTGTGAAGGAATTGACAGTCCAAATTCATTTGATGCTTTATAAGTTTTAGATTTGAAAGAGTCCTCGTTTCTAAACGAGCCAAAAGACTCAAAATGGAGAACAAGGTTGCTAGAAATCTTCCCCTCATCAGCGGCCGTTTCGGCGGATGATTCAGATTCGGCAAATTTATAATGTAGTTATAGACAGTCTGACCGATATACACTTTGAAATGAATTCTTTTCTTAAAATGAACGGTAGCAGACATCAGGGACTTGAGCAAAGTTATATATATTATACTTAAAGGGATCACCTTTCCAGGTCTCCTATTTCTGAACATTTTGATCCTCATTATTGCAATACTCCATCTGCAACCTGCACTATATTTTGCAAACATAAAAACTCATGTTTATAATGAACTCTGATAATTTGGACTCAACTACTATTGTTATCGTAAAGAATAAAAAAATGTAAAAGAAAGCGCCACCAATTCTAAGAAAACAAACCCAATTTGAGGATTGAACTTTCCTTAGTGCATTTTAAGGTTCCATTGAAGATTACAGCATTAATCACAAATTTAATTGTTTATCAATCTTCAGGTTTCAATGCCACAACCATGCATTAATCACAACTCATTCCTTTCATTAATTGTTAGTACCTTAGCAGCAATAGATTCCAAAAGCATTGCAATTTTTCATTCTTGAAGGAAATGCCCGAGGATTGATTATAAGATCAGGGCGCATCTTTCATCTCTGGCTAGTTTCATTCCGGCTCCGGTTGTTCCTGGGGCCCGTGGTTCTCTGTATACAAACTCGATTGTTAGGAAAAAGAAGAAGATAAAAAAAAACCTTTTGATGCAAATGATTTAGTAAATGCAGAGCCTTTTTATAAAATTGTAAAAAATTTTCATCTATGGGATGCTTCCCTTATTGACGTTGTTTCGATCTCAAGTCCTATGGGCATGCTTCGCTTGTCATTTCTTACTCGAACGAAGGATTTTTTTGCAAAGGTAACTAGAGTTTGGGATGCGGATTATTCAGCCACGAGATCGCGGGACCTAGTCAAATAAGATTTATTTCACCTTGGGGAGGGCGTGAAGGGAGTTAATTTTTTGGGGTTTCATCGGACTGGGCAAAGAAACTATTGAGAGAGTGAACTAGGATGGAAAGAAAGAAAAAAAAACCAATAATGGGGAAAGCTGATGGCTGATGTGGCAACTAAATGCTTATGTGTTAAAAAAACACCTTATTTTAAGATATAAGAATAAAAATACCTTATTTAGGGAATTAAGACTTTTAAGCACATGACATTGAATTATTTTGAAATTCAAATCCAAACTACCTCTTTTTTTTCCCCCTTATATCCTCAGACTAAAGCTTTTATTGTCAAAAAAAAAAAAAAAAAAAAAGCAAATATAAGGAAAACTAAATGACCGAAGAAACTTCTCATTTCTCAAAAGTATTCTAATGGTTTCCACCAAGCAGATTAATCCTCAAATTATTTGAATCTATAAGTCATGAAAACAAATTACTGGAAATACATGTAAATGTAGTAAACCCAACTCATTGCAAGACTTTCCTCTTCCAGCCTTCGCTTCTTTAAGACGGCAGCCTGTATTCTGATACTATCCTCCTAAATCCCATATTAAAAGACATTTTTTTCTTTTTCCTTTCCAGTTAGAAACTCTACATTAAAAAAGAACTCTTGACCGAGGAAACCAAATATCTTAAAGTTTAGGAGACGGGGAAGATTGTTAAGAGCTAAAAACTGCAGACAGTTTGTTCCAGTCCCAGGTGTCCATGTTGGGAGATACAACAGCAGCACCTACAGCAAATGCAACGACAACAATGGCCAAAGTTTTCATCAACCCATGGCCTCGCGATAGCTTCCCAGATATATGCTTACAATACTTCTCTGAATCTTGACACATTGCCTGTCTAGCGGCATCTGATCCACTGGCCATTGATTTCTCATTCTGAAAATCACCAAAAGGAAATATATAACTTGAAATGTTTGCCTACCATATGACCAGGCAAATCCTCTAATAATTTGGGATAAAAATGATGTCATAACATGTATTTTTGTCAATAACTAGAAGGATGTCGGCCTAAAAGTCATATGGCCTCGGTTTATTTGTAGCACGGTAAATACCTTGTTCCTAAAATTCTTGACGGTTTCCCTCAAATGGTCAAGGGTAGTAAATTTTACAGAGTGTTCTTTCCATTCCTCCAAAAGTTTTCTAAGAACAGCAACACTTGCTTCTAGATTGTCAAGATAAATCTTCTCCTGTTCACACCAAACAGAAGATGAGAATAAATCAGTAAGAAGTCCATTAGAAAACTAAACCTTCCTCCTAGTTCTTCGTCATAAAAGGGCCTGGTAAAAAACTAAAATAGCTCACCCACTGCAAGTAGCAGTCAGCATTCTGGTTCAAACACCATATGACTACTCCAGCTGCTTCTTTGGATAACTCAGGATAGCCTGTTTAAAGAAGATAAAGCTCAAGCATTGAGGTCCAAACTGCCATTCAGAGCAGACAATGGAATGTGGCAAGAAGGGGAAAGGGGAGGGGGAAGGAGAGGTAACTGCAAAACAGAGAAGTTATAAAATACAAAACCTACTTTCTCCTGCTGCTTTGACAGCAAAGTTGAATATCTGCTGAGACACTTGTCTCATTGCTTTGCTTCCATGAGAACCAGCAAGAGCCACTTCCTTTACTGCAGGATATATGGCCTCAAACCTTTCGGTTGCCTGCACCAATAACATGACTTACAAGAAAGTGAGAAAATATAATGATTTAAATCTAAGTGCTGACACAGCAATGCATACAGTCAAACTCTTAATCTACCTTTACTCTAGACGAAGATGCAGGGAAGGTAACTCGCATTAGTATCTCAAATGAAGTTGGTGGCACCAAACGTTCCCCTTTTCTAACAGCTGCATTTACTAAAATTGACCGAGCTTTTGAGGCAGATAAGATCCTTCACCAAGGAAAAGAATTCAATAAGCCTTACAAATATGAAAGTCAAGGAAAATAATGAAAAATGGACCAGAAAGGAAAAAAGCACAAACTATAGAAGCTCTAATACCATTCCACTAGCTGTAAAATTAGATCCCTGGACTGTGGGTTACAGTTTTTGTTACCAACTATAGGTAAGAGGTGATGTGCCCACATGTACAGCCCCACAGCAAGATCACCTTGGGATGCCTAGACAGTTCGACATTGATGTATGAAATAAGAAGCATATTACATAGGAAAGAATAACACAAGGTAAACTGCCTTCCAAATTCATATATCAGTTAGATTTGCGATGTTTTGCCATCCACTTACCTGAATTATCATCCATAAAATAACAGGGAGCTTATCTTGTCCTTGATATTTCGAATTTTCTCTCAGCTTTGGCAATACACTAATTAAGGCATCAGGTTTACGCCACAATACCATTGCTAATGCCACAAATATTCCAGCCTGCATAACATGTTTCTACATCAAACCCAATTTGAGGTGGATACCTATTCTTGCCAAAAGTTTGACGTAGATAGATGCTATTGAACTTACAAAACTATGCATGATATGAAAAGCTTCTATGGAGCACATGCAAAAGAAATTAAAAAAAAAAAATGAAGAAAAGGCTTCTAGAGTTCATTGAATGAAATGAAATTCAAGCTCCCAATAGTTAATAAAAGAAATTGTCAAAGCATAAACAGTTTTACTTCCAGATCTATCATATACCAGGATATTAAAAAAATATTAGATACTCAGTGCAGCTTAGCTTGCACATCAGTAAGGGAAACTTCCCATCTAAAATTGTTTTGACAAATTAAAGAGGAAATAGTCCTGCTCTCCATGGAACAAGAAGACCGAAGCCTTCACAATTTCATGATATTCAATTCTTTCCATGGACATGTTAGAATCACTCACAGGGTATTATATGTTATAGATTATCTGTTTGTTTCTCTTGTATCAAACTTAAATTAAAAGAACCCATAACTTTTGCCTGCACAAATTAAATCCTAACCTAGGCATATTATTAAAATAAATGAAAAGAAGTAATTTCATGGGAAACCAACCAATGACAACTAAAAGCAGATTAAGGTTACCCGGGAAAATAATTGTTAACCCCTGAGGGTTTAGTGAAAATACCCTTACCATCTATTAGTTTGAAAAATACCCTCTATCCACCTTCAAAAAGTAATGGAAGTTAAGATTTTATCATTTAAACTAATGTTTGGTCAAAATTAGCTTCAAATACCAGACACACTTAATAGCACCCACTTTGTTATTATTTTTTCCTTTTTCTTTTCTCTTTGTCCTTTTCATTCCCTTTTTTTTTAATCAATCTCTTTGACCTTTGTCATTCAAACCTTTTTTTTTTAATTTGATAGCAATTAGGATAATTTGTTTTAACCCAAGACAAGTTGATCTATTCGTCTCAAAATTAATACTAACTAATTGAATTATGATTTAGCTTAACTAAAATTTAATTTGATAATAATTAAAAATGATTTTAAAACTAGTCAAATCTTACAAACTAATTTATAACTAACTAAATCTTACAATTTTATGATTAAAAAAAAAGACCCAGGCAAAAGAAAAAAGGAAACAAAATAAGTAGAGAAATAAATAACAAAGGGTATACTTCTAGTTTCATTCAATATTAACATGATACTTAACAATAACACTGTTACTTTTTTTTTTTGAGAGGGGGGGGGGGGGGGGCATTGTGTTTTCAAAACTAATAGGGGTTTAATTTTTAAGTGTAATCTTACTAAAACCTCAAAGGGGCTATACTCCAGCAGAATGATGCATAAAATAAGAAAAAAAAAAAGCAATAGACATCTGATATCTGAAAGCAAATAACTAAGTCAACAGCATCAGACATCAAAATAATGGATGAAAAGCAAAAGATGATAACCAATTCAACAGCAAAACTGCCAATAAAGTTACCTTAGACTTTGATGACGTCTGCTGCACACCTTTTTTGGAGCCCTTAGAACTTACTTGCTGGGCCACCAAGTCCTCAAGAATGATGTCTAAAGACCATAATACAAAGAAACCAAGTGCCTCAAGGGATCGTTGACTGATCCAATCTGCTGATGTCTTACAAACAGTATCAGAGATATGCGAAAGAGGTATCTGTCAAAGGAGAAATTAAACAGTTTGGTCAGAAAAAAAAAATTAGAAAGTTCTGCAAAGATCAACAGAGACCAAAAGGAATCTAATTGACATCTGAGAAGGATAAACAGCATCTTGTTCACCTTGAACGGCTATTTTCTATTTCTTATACCAAGTTAATAAACAATTAAACATATATAAAGTCATTTTACTCACAAATTATAGTTGCCTTATTTAACTGCTTCATTGTTTCTAAATTGAACTGCTAAATAATCCTTTAATTTTTTATATCATCAGCATAGGAATCAAAGAACTATCTCAAGCTGCTGATTCAGGATCCTTTCAATACCATTCTACGAATTTATAATACATGAAAATAATATAAACCAGTAACCAAGAAAAGGATTTTGACTACCTCCTTACAAAGCATTGAAAGCCACAATAAATGCACAAAATTTTGCAAAATGCTAATCACTCGTATTTAAATCAATTCAAATAGTTTCACTTCAAGAGGAGGACAAGGTTTTTTCCCTTAAAAAGGGTGTAGGATAAGTTAAAATGTGAAATTAACAAGACAACGAAATTGAGATGTTGCAATGGAAAATCAACAAATCAGTTCCAAATATTTACAATCATGCAAACAAAGCTAAAAAAAAATTCCAATCAAATTTCCTAGAAAAATCATGGATGATAGAGCATTAATCCAGTCAATCCAAAAACCAAGCTTTGGTAAAAGTTTCCAATTTGAACATTCAAACATGTAAGAAAGTAATGTTTCCAAATTTCCTTCCTCTCACCGATCCAGCGTGCAAATTAAAACTTCCAATTGCGACAAAATAAAATAAATAAACAACATAAACTCACATCAGCAAGCTTGACAACGGTAGTCTCCCTAAACATCTTCACCCAAGGAAACTGCCCCGCTACCACTTCCTGAAATGCCTTGCCATAGTAATTCGCAAACTTCTGCATTTGAATTTCCTGCTGTTCACCATTCAATTCCTAATTTCCCCAAACCAATCAAAAATTATATAATCAACCAATTTATCAAACCCAAAAAAGAAATTAAATTTATCATCATTCTGCGCTTACAGCGAGACAAACAGAGAGATCAGCGGCATCAATCTTTGATGCGGCTTCTGCAACCGTAACCTTAGGCTTTTTCGGCTTCTTTTGCTTCACCTTCTTTTCCCCCTCTGCCGGCTTTCCGTTAGGTTTAACGCCTTCCAGATCACTGTCGTCGTCATCATCGTCGTAATCAAGGTCGGATCTGTTATGCTTAGCCTTCGTATTGGAATCAACGACAGCAGCGTAAGCTCTTTGAGCCTCGATGATCCGACGGCGACGATCCTCAGACTGTTGCTCTACGGAAAGGAAAACGTTAGGGGCGCCGTTAGTTAGGGTTCCGTTGGAACGGATAAGGTTAGCCTTTTCGGGATCGGTGTTGGGCTTAGTCTTGCGTTGGCGTTTAGGATATGATACCTTTTGCCAGCCATGGTCAATGTGGTTGGCGTTGGCAATCGCTGTTTCGTTGAGATCGACGGACTCCATTATGGGAAACGATGGAGACAGGAGAGAAGTGGAAAATCGGAGGGAAATAACAATAATAACTATATAAAGGGATGGAAATTGGTTTATTAGGAATTAAAGCAGCTCAAAGCGCGTAAATTTCTTTTGCTGAACATAGGGATGCGAACCACCATTATTTGACATAATTATCGCTTTGGTAAAAGGTTTTTCCGGATTAAGCCATCTGCTAAATTGAAAATATATCCTGATTCGATATCTAACAATTTTAATTATTGAAAATAAATTAATACAATTTCAAATTACATTATATAATTTCATATAAAAGGAAAAAAAATTGACACTGTTTTATTTTAATTTCAACTATTTTTTAATTTTTTTCACGTAAAAATAATAGCAGTCGTAGATCTTTTTAAAGAAAAACATATAAAACTATGATTTTTTTTTTAGTGTATAGATAAAACTTCAATTTCTCCTATTTTAAGGTTCATTCAATGTTTGAAATTTCATAATTATGCTTTTAAATTTTGGGTCAAAAATTCAGATTCTATAAAAACAAATTTGGTTTAATTTTATGTTGTGTTTAGTTTAGCTATATGTTAACCCGTTAATTTGTTTGTTTAATAAGTTTATTTTATTAATTTGTTTGCACTAAATATGATGATTAATCTTTTACAAAAAATTATTATGTATATATATATTTAATATTCTAAATTAAATATAAATTTGATTTTTTTGTTTTAATGGTTGAATATTTTAAATTATACTAAAAGCTTTTTTAAAATTTTATAATTTACCCTTAATTTTTTATATTTTTACACTTATACGATCGAAGAAGATATTAAGCGCAAAAAATCATTTTAACCTCCAAGTATTACTAGAAATCTCATACCAACTAAAACAAATATAGGCACAACAAAAGTTATTTAATGTTATCAAATACATAAGATTATGCCTGAATACTTAGGATTCTATTGAATGAGATAAGATTAAAAATGACAATGAGTTATTGTAATATAAAATTACTTGCAATAAAGATGTTATAAAATTAGGTATAATGGTGAGGATATATATATAAGTTGAAAGTAATTTAAGTAATTAAATCAAATCGAATTTGAATGTTGTAATGCTATGTTAACATCATTGAATTTTTTAAAATATTTTATACATGTTTAATAAAACACAAACGTTTACTTACATAATTTAAATTTTCATTTCAGTTTAAATTTGAGTTGGAATTTCATACTCAAAAGTCATAATGAATGAAATTTGAGCCCAATGGAAATGAACGTTTGGACTCAAGTATGATCAAATTATTTAATGGATCCAAACCCATCCTTGACACCGTGGCTGGGCTGCTATTTCTCCACCATTAGGTCTAGGTATCACTTTGCAGTTCGCACCAAAAGTTGAAAAAACCAAGCCGAATATGAATGGCACAGATCGTGGATAGGATTGCTTAGTATCATGAGGAGGCCCATAATCATAAATTTTGAATCTAGACCGGCCTTGGGCAGGTACAGGGTTCGATGCAAGAAGGCCTATGCTGCTGGCTGACTGGTGTTGATTGTTGAAGAAGTAGTTGGAGAGAATCGGGGCTGACATTTTACAGGCCAACAACAACTACCGAACAATATTTTTGGGAAGTTCCAATGGGATATAGCTCTACCCCCATGTGATACCATGTTTTCTGCACCTGCAAGCAAGCATATGAAACTTGACTAATCTCTTTATATTTAATTTTTATTCTTTTATCAACTTGCAAAGATCCCATCAGTATTTAAATGGATGCAAGGAATTTTAGATTATTATTACAGAGCTTGGGATGCTTTTGCTTTGCCATGAATGTCAGCAACTCAGCAGACTGTTTTTTTTCTAAGCGAAAATAACAGTTGGATTAATAACAGAACCATTATATCATTAAACAGCCTCTAATCACACAAATTTTCATTTTTTTATTAAATTTTTATATAATAAAATAAAAAAATGAAATTTCATCAATCAAAGAGAATTAGAGTAAAAATATATACATTTTATCTATATAAATTAAATTTATTATGATAAAATTTTTACATTAAAAAATGATGAATATTTTTATACCATATTATTTTTAGGTTGAATATTTTTCACAAAATTTGACATGGGTGTGAAATAAATAAATGTGTTTTAACTACTTGAGTTGAATTTTTTTTCCTATATTAAAAAAATCAAACAATTGCCGTAGAAGTAATATGATTTCTCCCACATTTACAATGATCTAGCCATGTAACCTAGGAAGTGTTGGGCAAGATATCGGGGTCCCAAAGTCACATGCAAAGACATGTGGGAGATGCTGTGGATTAAACATAAACTGAAGCAGAAAGAGGCAGCCAGCCCTTTCCCGAGGGCAAAGCCTGCCCCAAACACACCAAGCATTAGCAATCTTCCCTCCACAAAAAAATTTCGTGGGGATATAATGCACATGGTCACTACGGAATATTAGAAATTCGAAATTGAAATCGCAGCTGAGCAAAGGTGGTCCCCCTTTGAAATTATGAAAGCTATCATGTGCCGAGGCTCGTGTGATGGACCATCATTCCATATTTTTTGAGATCTTGCTTCTTTCGACTTAGTATAAAAATGGAACGCCATTGCCGACAATATTTCAACGTATATTTATCAGCTGCTTGTTTAATTTAATATATTAGACTCGGTTTCGTTGAAGGTGTCTAATTCGAACCTTGATAATAACTTAGAAAACAACAAAACTAATATGTATCTAACATGTAAATATATCATATAAACTGAATCTCTTGTTTTTACTGGTCCTTGCTCAAATAATAATGAGCTACAGTCTGGTTTTATCCTGAAGGAGAAGGTGAAGTTAAATCAAAACTAGTGGATAGACTTAGGGTGTCATCATGTTGGTAAGATATAGTGCATGGATGATGGATCCTGACAGCTCGAGTGAAAAACTTTTTTTTTTTTTCTGCTTTATTTACTAATAGTCTACAAGTGAACAATGAATCTTCAAGTGCTGTTTTGTTGTTGGTGTTGTCCCATCACTCTCTTTGTCGTTCTTGCAAATTATTCATCTCATAAAATATCTCAATCTTTGGAATGCATCGTCTACTATACCCATTGTTTGCTATTCTTCAATTTTAATTTTCATAACGTTTTATATATAACAATAGTCTTAATTAGTTTGTGACCACCGAAGTAACTTGAAAACATTGTAAATGAAGACTGATCAATGAGTAAATTATATCAGTAGTACGTGTTGTTTTTGTAATATAGTATGTTAACAATGTAACATTCAAATCTTTCGTCGAAATATTGTAAATATCCAGTAAGATATATATAAATTTGAATTTATATTTATGTAATATTTTTATGGTTTATTAAAATTAATGAGTAAAAAAATGTGAAATTTTTTTTATGTTATTCGATTCTTCCCTTTTAATAATTCTAAATAAAAAAAAAAAAAACCTGAAGTTATGTAGAAAGAGGAGTAGTGGAAGGCAATACAAAAAGAATTATATAGGCAATGGGAGGGGCAGCGGTGAGTTTGGAACCTAAAATCTAGCATATGCATGGACCTAGTAAAAGAACTTATAAATCTTTTGTTCATGAAGAGTCCTTTTCAGATTTTTAAGGTGCAATTGTATAGAAAAATAGTAAGTAAGATGATGGATCGAGATGACCCATCGAAAAAGTTATGGGCCCAACCAGAGTCTATGCTGGAATGGACCACTCTTGTTTAGTCAGACAAGTGCAATTGTGCAAATCATTTTAACGCGTTGCTTCCACTCTCCACCCACTCCCTGTAGCTCAGTACAAACCGGCAGACCACATCTATTTCAATGGGTCCCTAACTTTCATGTTTCAATGCTCCTATTTTTACAGCACCAGGCTGTCGTTCTGTCCAACATCACTCTCTCTCCAAATAAGTGCACGTAACGCGCTTTTGAAATTGTAAATTTTTAGTAACGGCAGTTTCCCGCCTTTCTACAATTTTATTTTTAAGGTAATTAATTCGTGAAATTTTAAATTCGTGAAATTTTTAAGGTAATTAATTCGTGAAATTTTAAATTTAAAAAAAATAAGATTTTTAAAAATATATAATATTCAATTTTTTTTATTTTAAAAAGATTTTGTATTTAGATTCATTCATTTTAGTAAAAAATTCATATATATTAATTCTTACATAATTATCATAATTTCTTTCACATATATAAAAATAACATTTTATTAGCTTTTATTAATAATAAATACCAAAAGAAAAAATGATACCTTTAATAATAAAAGAAGACAAATATTTTATTTAATTGTTATTTTTATTTATAAAATATCATCAATAAAAAAATAGTAGAGATTATTTAAGGTATTTCTCAATAAAAAATGTCTTAAATAATTTTTTTATTTTTTTAAATAATTATTTAAGGTATTTTCTGTCAAAAACATCTTAAATAATCTCTAATATTTTTTAAAAATAATAATTTAAGGTATATTTAATAAAAAAACGTCTTAAATAATTCTTTTAATTACTTATAAGATTTAAAATATAAACTATAAAAAAATTTTAGTAGCTTAATCGATTAGAGTATATGGTTATTAATCATAAAAGTTATAAGTTCAATTTATTTTTTTAACATTTTAATTTTTTTAAGATGATTATTTAGATTTTTTTTTGACTAAAAACACCTTAAATAATACCCTTCAATTTTTTAAACTATATTATTTAAGGTGTTTTTTACTAAAAATACCTTAATTAATCTATTTCATTACTTATAAAATTTAAGAGATAAAATATAAAAAAATATAGTAACTCAGTTGGTTAGAGCATATGATTATTAATTATAAGGTTGTAGGTTTTACCTCTCATTTTGATGTTTATTTATTTAGAAACTATTTAAGGCGTTTTTGATAAAAAAAAATACCTTAAATAATACTAATCAAATTTTTTAGTGAATTATTTAAAGTATTTTTGTCAGAAAACGTATTAAATAATCTCATTCAATTTTTTTATAAATAATTATTTAAGATATTTATTGACAAAAAATGTATTAAATAATCTAAAAAAATTGAACATAATTATTTAAGGATTTTTCATGCCAAACGCCATTACTTGCAATATAAACAAACAAATTTAGCAACAAAAATCTATAATTGATTTACAATCAATTTTTATATACTTTTCAAAATATTAATAGCTATTTCATAATTTTTACTCATGTCAAATTTAAAAATAACACAATTTTCTCTCA